TCAGAAAGGAAAAGTGAAATAAATGGTGCTGAAGTTTAAATAAATAACTCATTAAATATTGTAGTCGATTCAGGGGTTCTATCTTAATCTTCTAGGAGGGCTTACCTGTCCCTCTTTCAACCTTCAAGGCGTTCTTAATCTTGCCTCGAAGATCAATCCACAAATTACTCTTTGTGAAGTGTTTGTTCATAGGGCATTAATTAGGCTACACAACTTGATTGTGGTGTTAAGGTTTTAAAGTGTGGCTCAACTGAAAATGATCTTTCTTGTACTTTGCAGATGGTGGTCGCATTCGGAATGTCGGAGATTGGCCCATGGTCTCTAATGGACTCCTCAGCACAGAGTGCAGATGTGATAATGAGAATGATGGCTAGGAACTCCATGTCAGAGAGACTAGCTGAGGACATTGATGCCGCCGTCAAGAGGATTACCGACAGTGCCTATGTGATTGCTCTAAGCCATATAAGAAACAACCGCGAAGCTATCGATAAGATCGTCGATGTGCTCGTAGAGAAGGAAACACTGGCTGGTGATGAGTTTCGAGCGATCCTTTCAGAATTTGTTGAGATCCCATCAGAGAACAAAGTTCCTCCATCAAAACCAACGCCTGTTGCTGCTGCTTAATATTCTATTTCCACTATCATGGTTCCTGCAAACCAAGGAAATCTGGTGCCAAAATGCAGCATTGTATAATATTTTTGTAGTTTATAAATATTGATATGTAAGTATTGTATTTGGGCTTCATTTCTTAAAGGAAAGTGTTTGAGTAAGTTAAAAAATATGAGGCCTGAAATATGCAGTACTGATGAATCTTACTGCACCTCTTTAAAAGAATTTCTATTCATCTCGTGCAGGATTTGATCGGATCTTGTGAATTTTTGCGCTAAATTCTGCAATTATTTGTCATGCCATTGCCTATGTTGATGACTGTATCAGGTAGTTTCTTGGTGCGAAGACTACACACTCTTCGCACCAATTATATTATGATTTTTCATTGTATATGAGATACTCTGTATTGTGATCTTTGATTTTTTTGTCCAATTATCGCATGTGCTCGTTACCTGTACCTATTTTAATCATTGCTCTTGTCTATTCTTGAGCCTCTTCCATTTCTTAGCGAGTAAGAAACTAATAATGATTTATTATCAAAATTGAATATATATATATAATGCTAATGCATTGGATTCTAATGAAGGAAACATTTTCTTATAAGATCGGCAAGTTGAAGAAAACATAAATAAAATAAAAATTTGACCCGACTTTTGCATAATTTTGTTTTGGAAAAAAAAAAGGTTAAATAGGCTTAATTTTATTTTTAATTTGTTGTATTGCCAATTAATATGACAGTCGTTATTAAGATACTGAGAATTTTATTGAGACGATTTTAATGATTTTAGCAATATAATTATAATTTTGATTAATATGATAAAAATTATTATTAAATAAGTTTAACAAAAAATCGTATGATTTTAAATTTGACAATTTAGCAAATTCTGTCTTTTTAGACACACCGCAAGTTGGGGTCGTATGAGGAAGCATGAGACAAATGGCGCAAAGCCTCGATGGTGATAGGTCATCATGCATGGTGGCCTATGGTGAGATCCAAGGCATTGGATGCTTCCTCGAAGCTTCGCTGGGAATATTAATTACTGTTCTAGCCCCTCATCAATAATTTATAATTATACAGATATATTCATTCCATTCCTCCTCAGCCCTTAAAATGTATACATTCTTATTACTAAACCAAACATATAATCAAATGAGGTAAGGGGCGTACCAAGCCTTAATTTTCATAGGGGGTGGAAAAACTTATAAGTAATCGTTGATGTTGCCTCGAATTTGGCTTGATCTTTTGCTATAAAAAATAAGTCATTTGCAGCCAAACAATAGATGAAAAATAAAATGATCGCTAAAGATGATTAATCATTCAATTTCTACAAAATGTATGTTGAAGTTGTCTTGAATTTGGCTCGACCTCTATTTGTTCATATCCTTGATTGTCTTACACTTCGCATATATGTTGGTGGTCTAAGGGGGGTAGCGCCCCCTGGCGGGGTTCTACATGTCCGATCAGGTCGCGGGGTCAAGGGGCAATGCTCTTGCGGGAGTTTTCGGGGGCAACGCCATCAGAACAGATTTTGCTTGTAGGGTTATTTTCGGAATTCAAATTGTTAAATAAAATGATGAATTCTCTTTACTATTTCTCTTTGTATTTGATTCATGGTTTTGTAACAATAACATTTCTACACAATATATTTAATTATGCTATGGGCAACTGACTAAAGACTATAATATTTTGAAACTTTAAGTGGGGCAATTGCCTAGCTAAACTCTCCGTGCTTAAGGGGGATCCGCCCATGAATGAGATTATGCTCATATTTGACCCCTAATTAATAAACATTTTTGTTGAAATCAACCGAACTTAAGTAAATTATGAAGAAAAAGATTGATTTTTTTTTAAATGATTTATTTAAATACATATATAATATTTATCTTGCACAGGATTCTTCTATTAAGCTCAATTGATGCTCTCATAGCTGGAAATGACAGAAACAAAAGAGACAACAAACTCAGAAAGAGAGAGAGAGAGAGAGAGAGAGAGAGAGAGAGAGAGAGAGAGAGAGAGATGGGAGTACAAAAGTTATAAAACTCTCAACCACAGTTTAAAATATCTTAAAACCAGTAGTTGAAGCCATGGGAGGACACATAGTTGTATTAGTAGTGACCAAGCTGAAGCTCTTCGTTTCAGGAGGCCACGCAAACGTCCACATATTGCCAGCTCTTCTCCTTCCATTCATATTAAGGGTTCCTTTAGCTGCCAGAATGCCAGCTTCTCTACCTGGAGTTGTTTATTCCCTTCGCCTATTAATCTTCCAGCTCAACAGAATACTTTTCCGGCGAACTCCGACGCCGAATAATCAGAGGATGGCGAGGACTCTCAGGCTGCTCTACAACCGCATGATTCATAACGGACGGTCTATGATGATAGAGACTGATGCTGAGACTCTGCATGCTTTGTCCATGGCTTCTTTGTAAGTGTCTGTAGATGGATTATTGGAGATCGATCTTCCTATTGTTGTTTGGTATGTTATATAAGATCGACTTGGCTTAAATTCTATCATAAAATAAGTTTTCGAGATTTCATATAAATTAAGCTGCTTTCATGAATTTTTTTTTAATATGACAGATTTTTGGAATTTCTTTGTATCCATAATATAAAGCTGTGATGTGCGCCTGTGCCAAAGGAATTTTAAATTTTAATCTTCTTCTTCTGAAGATTTAATAAATTTTGTTGGAGTTAATCATTCTTCTAAAACTTGATAGCAAAGCAAGATGAGCAATGGTAAGAACAGACAACCTTCAGCCTGCAGAAATAAGCCAAAAATGCAGCGAAGCGACAACAAGAAGGCAATAATGTAGCCATGTGCTGTTATAGTAATAATCTTAGTTTTTTTTTTTTTAACAATTAAGAAAAATTCACACAAATATCTCCTAGTTTTTTTTTAATGCTTTTTTTATTTCCTAGAAAAATCAGGTAGTAATTTTCTTATTTTCTAATTCTTATTATAATTTATTTTTTTTAAACTACTGCGAAACATCTATATATATGTAAAATAAGTCTTATTAAAAATTTTATTCATCACACATAATATTTATCTTTATTAAATATTTAGCTTTTTATTCGTTTAAAATAAAGAGAGCTTTTCAAAAACTAGTGCTTTTTTTTTGGGGAGAAATTTAAGGAAGCTTTTTAAATTATGTGCTGCCATTATTTTGCTTTCCCGATAATTTTTTTAAGGAATTAAAACTCATTTGTAAATTACACCTAAATTTATAAAGTATGAAATGGGGAGATTTACATACATACTACTAAATTCTTACCTATTTACTATATAATACCTAAATCTTTATTTTTACTTTTGAAACACATTTTTAAATCAGATGTAAATTTATGCATAAAAAATATTTTCCATTAAAAAAAAAGTAAAAATAGTGATATTTTCATGTGATTCCAAAATTGCATTATTATGTAAATGCATAAAATTTTAATGCTAAATATTTAAATACATAACATGTATATAGACCATTTTCAAAATAATATAGTTCAATTCAATTTCTTTAAAAAATATTTAAAAAAATTATTTTTCCAATATTCAATATTTAACTTATTAAATGATGGTGAAAAATCACACGAAAAATTTGAGTTAGAGAGAAATATTTTACTTGGATATTAAGTATTGGATGTTATTAGACCAATACCGATTGTGGAGAAAGGCATATTAATAGAGGTGTATATTAAATGGGCATGGGGCACTTTGGACTTCCTATAAAATACTATTAATTCAAAAACCTCATCATAAAAAACTAATGAAAGCTAAATAGTTTGACAATTAAATTAATATCAAAAACTCTTTATTATATCATCAAGACGAGAGATTATTATGTGTGGAGTCCGGACACAGAAAATCAATAAAAGTACAGTAAAAGCATAATTACTATTCACCATTACGTTTTTACTGTTTACAATCACAAAACCGAATGATTTTTTTTTGCATCCAGACTCCGCATATAATAATCTCTCCATCAAAACAAGATCATGTTAGACCGGTCCAGCCGGCTCCTTGCGAAGGTTCAATCCTATTTGCAACTGCATGGCCCAATTAATGCAAGTCTTTCGGTGATGAAGTTGAAATGTAAATACATATAACACAGCAAGAGCAGGTGTGTCATCATAAAAATCTCTAAACAAATCAAATATTGACATTTTACTCTCATTTACTGCTAAAAGTTGACACAAACTATTTGAAACATGAAAAAGACTTAACTAAAAGTCCCAATGGTATCATTAAAACAGTATAGATATGCAGATAAGTTACCATAATAGACAACCTTGAAAATCAGCCACTGTGGAGCTATAGCGTCCAGAAGCCCCCCTTTTACCTGCATGGTGAAGTTTGGTGGAGATCCATGAAAGCAAGAAAAGAAGTTAAAAAGTTAGATAAGGAATCAAAAACTTAAAACTCCATTCATAGCAGTCAATCAACTCAATGTTCTTTTAACATTTGCCGAAACTTTTGTTATGAATTTGAAGGCCAGCACAACTATCTTACCCCATGCTTCAGTCATGTCCTACAGAGAAGCCAAAACTAACACAAAAAAACCAATCAGCTACTTTCCCAGAACCTTCAGTTTGCTAAATGAAATACTATACATTATGTGAGAACATCCACAGAGTCAGTAATAAATACTCTTGAGCCATATTGACCTTCAGATTCTATAGATTCTCCTCCTAGCACTCGAATCCTATTTCTAAATTGGACTCAAAACAGCATAATCTTGAGGTTGTTCACAGTTCATAAGGCCATAATACAAAGGCTGAGTATCCTGCAATGCCAAAGTTGATGACTGGCTGGTGGGAATGTAACCATTCATTTGTCCAAAAATAGTATTGGGTCTCTGGAATTGGCATATCCGGGATGCGTGCTTCTTTCCGACCAGATGAGCCTGGAACATGGCCTCGCTATTACAAACTGCATTGCATAGAACACAAACACGAGGCTGCTCGGGTGCAGTGTTCCTCTTCCGCTTCTTCTTTCGATTCGCATTTGCATCACATTTTATATTTGATGTTTCTATAACAGATTCATTGTGTTGCTCGGGTTTCGTGTCATTATCAGCTACTAACTTTTCAGCCATGTCCGGTCGCCCTTCCATCCTTTCCAATAATTGGACAGTTCTCTTATGGCGCTTCCCAGTCCTATGGTTCTCTAGGACTTGCAGGCTGTTGCAGTCAACCCGGCAGACATCGCACCATGAAAGTGGAAGGGTGGATGGTTGCAGCAGCAAAGATTCTTTCAATGAAGGAGGCTCCAGTGCCACTGCGTCTTCTCCAGGTGTTGACAGATTGATTTTAGGAACTACTTCATGTGCAACCGATTGCTGCCCAAAATTCTCAACTACCGTTGATTTTCCATGTTGAACATCATTGCCATGAAAGTGGACGGCTCCAATGTCAACCTCCTGACGAGGATAGGGGTGGAATTTGCCCTGGACACCAACTCCCCGTCTCATTCCATACCAATCCCTAAACTGAGACCTATTACCCTGAGCCTGGACAATGACTTGATTAGATTACCAGAAGATGGTGCTAACACAAATGTATCTAAGGGAATGCTGCAGAACAGAAGTATTTTACAAGACTGTACATTGTTCGTCTACAATAATGCGCACAGTTTAACAAAGCTAATCAAAATGAAAATTCATATCGTGATAGAACATACCAGCCTTGTTTTACTGAAAATATGCGGTTAAAACTAACATAAGTTTGTCATAAAAAAAAGGGAGGGGGGGGGGGTCGGTAATAAGATGATCTATGGTGTCAAAGATTATGCTTTATATAAAAAAGGAATACGGAAGTGAATACCATTTCTCAAACACGAACTTCTAAAAGTTGTAAACTTTGAAAATTGCTTTAATGAAAATTTCATACGAAAGAAGCATAAAAATTTCATTTCAAGGTCTACAAAGAATGAATAAGAAGGACGCCAGCAACACACGCATCAAACAGAAATAGGATCTTGTGAAAAACTAACTAAAATATAACTTATTTGGATAAAATGGACAAAAAAGCCCAACATAAGGGGGAAAAAAGTTATTCCATCCAATATTATCAAAGTGACTCAGGAATTACTTGAAATAGTAGTCACGAAATGCCAATAGATAACAACCATACATGTACTGAAGAAATCTCACAAAGCAAAAAGGCAAGAAGTTCACGATTTTTTTTTTATAGAGAAGAGCTAATGAAACTTCCACATTGATGTTTTTGTGGAAAGGGAAAAAATCATATTGAAGTGACACTTAATTGAGGAAACAAGAGATGAAAATGAAAGAATCCATCTAAGCACAACCTCAACATGAAAATGGGTTACAAAAATGATCAGCTCCTAGAGCAATAGATCTAACATAACCATGGCAGAAACAAAATTGAAACCCTTATGCATATCACGTTCTCAAGTATTTTTGTTAACAGCTATTCAAAATTTGTTGATCTACAAGATCAAAAAAATCGAGGACAAACTTCTAGCCAAAAATAAATAAAGGACTAGATCATCTGAAAGAAATCACTAAAGGTTGAAACAAGAGTATAAAATACCATTCCACATGTTCCAAAGAAAAATATGACACCACATCAATTGGCTTGCTCAAGGACTTTTGAGCGCACACACGTAGATTGATTTATATGGAAAAGTAATGGATCGTTGTGAGTATGATGTCTTTCCACTCACCCAATCTATCTGATAGGCTTGTTAGCACGGAAGCTAGATTGGAGTTTGGTTAGCAATAATAGCCTTGAAACTCAACTGGGGTTTTGCTAGGCGTACTAGTATACAAGTTGGTCCAGAATTAGCAAACCAGATGATATCGAAGTTGATCCAATGTTTAATTAGGCTAGATAGCATAGGAGCTGGCCCAGATGTTGATTTGACTAGGTAACATAAGATATGCTCAGAGTTGATTAGGCTTGGGAATCGGCCCAATGTTGTTTAAGCTTTGTAGCATTGAAATTTGCATGACATTTGTAGACCCGAAAGCATGGAAGTTGGTCCAATGTTTGGTTAATCTTTATACTATATAATTTAGCTTGGAGGTTGAATTGACTTCATACCAATGGAGGCAGCAAAAAATCTATTTAAATTGGTAGAATGAGAGTTAGCCTGGGGCTTGAATTTATTGGATCTACATCATCATCTCTATAAACTCGATCTAAGATTGGGTCTTATATCCATGGGGAAGGCCCCTGCTGGTTTCATACAAATTGAACATTATTAGTGAAGTCACAACCCCAACGGAAAGAAGGAACAAATTTTGGTTGATAAAACATTCATTAAATTGCCTTGAAGATCTTCTGCAAATGTATGATAAAATATCGAAGCAAAGCCCCAAGTTGGGTCCGATAATAACTACATAAATAAGGGCACTGCATATACTTTTGAAAGCTCCACATAGGGATAAGAATTAGATGCCATCCTTTATGTTAGGACCTCTCTTCCTTTCAGCCCAAACTTTGATATTCACTTTAAAATATAATTGAGGTAATAGAACAATTTTGAAAGAGCACAACAAGGAGATTTAAGTAGCCCACATAAGGAAGGGCTGTAATTCATGGTCCCAAACAAATGTCTAAAAGAAGGACATAAAATTTTAAAAATAGTGGTTGATTCCAATCAAAATCTTACATTTAGCTTAACAAAATATAGAGCTGGGCGTTGAAATCTGTTTCCTATGCAAACAAAGCCATACCGATCTTGCTCTTTGCTCTCATCCTCCTTTAACTTCTTTTTGAATTAAACAAGCCTATCAATGTCCTCCTATCTTCAAATAATCTCCCTTTGTCCCAATTTGGATGCCAAAACTAGGGTTTATATATTTTTTGTGTGGAATCTTTAGTACCCTATATAAAGGGCTTTGAATGATTTAATTGTTCATATATATATATATAGACAATTATGCTCCTAATTTTATTTATAGATCTACTATCATATAAGACCTTCAAATTAAACATCACGCCATTGATTTCATCCATAACATGAAAATTAGTTAAGGATCAAATTTCATCATTTTTCATAGTTATTAAATCTTCAACAAGTATGCAAAAGACAAAGATGATTGAAGGACACATAAAAGAAAACTTTTAACTCCATTTTGCTCATGCATTTTGACAAATCGGAACTATCAAATACACTTCAAATACCATCAATAGCTTATGCATTTAAATACAAACCATTTAAAATACTCTAAGGATTGAAAAGCAAAATTATCTTTCCATGCAAATAGAATCATTCATATGATTAAATGATTTTAAAAGTTCTTAAAATCTTGCACGTACTAGTTCTAATTGCAACAACGAGCGATATATATTATAATTGAGTATTATAGCATGAAAATCTAAATAAGAGGGTAATAGTCTTTCTCCTCTAACTGGAATAACCACATGTGAGATTCAGCTTCCGTCAAAAAGATAACCACTCTACACTTGATATAATAACTAAACTTATATGACTTTTCTACCATATTTTGATAAAGGTTATTTGGTAAAATTATGACTTGTTAACCTAGTTTGATTTTTATTGGGGCCTTTTTTATTTCATGTTCTTCAGGGTTATATAGTACGTTCCAAAAGAAACTGGCAAATTTTTAATCTAGTGTTCCAAAAAAGTTTTATACGAAAGGAAAAAAAAAAAGGCAATTTGATTCGATAAGAAAGAAAGAAAAAAAAAACTAATAAGAACAATTTTTAAAGCTGTGCACAGGAGCGGATATCCGCAGGAAACCGATTAGGGCTGGGAACGAGGTTTATAGTTCAAATTCATGGATAGAAAATCATCAATAGAAACAAGAAACAAATAGCCAGCATCAAGGACCACTACGGCTAGCACAACCCTAACGGAACAAGCAGAAACCCTAATGGCCTTTTTGAATAATAACAAGCTCTTACTTTACCTCGCATCAGGAATGATCTTCATCAAATATGACAAAAAAAAAAAAAGAAACATGTTCTTACACCAAAAGGACGACGTTTCCGCCGGTTTTCATGAGCACCGTCTTCGGCGAACTCGCCGGGGCCCATAAACTCAGTGGCATGAGTCACCTCATCATTCGCCGGCGGAGCCACAGTATGAATGGCGGATCCTGGTGGTGGAGTATAGGAGGGGAATGTGAGAGGTACACACCATTCCGGCAAATCGTCATCATCATCCACGGAGGGGTTGGGGTGAGAGTCCATCAGCGAAGGATAGGATTTAGGGTACCGAAAAAACCACATAGAAGAAATAATGTATATATATATATAATATGCAGCGGTGTAAAACACCTAAATTTTAGGTGCTCTATAATATTTTTTTGAAATAAATTTTTATTTCATATGATTATTCTACAATTGCTATAAAAATTAAAATACTTTTTAATAATCTACATCAAATTCCATGTAAAATTAAGTTTAACCTTTTTATAATCTAAATTAGAAAGATATGCATGTATAATCAAATAATATTAAATTATTAGATAATTGCAATAGTATAAATTTATAATATTTTTACTATATCAATAATTATGTATAATGCAAACCCAAATAATTAAAGAGTAAGATTCAAATAAATTTAAACTAGTTCACCTTGTTGATGAATTTAACTTGTCTATAAAAATCATAAGCAATATGGCTACTTCACCCAGCAAGTTGGCTTTACCGCAAGTCAACTATGTAGCAAGCCACCTATACATTACGAAGTCAAAATGGCAAAGTCATCCTAGTAAGTCGATAATTTCGTTCAGCAAGTTGAAGACCTTAGTTAACAAGTTAGAGACCACAACCAAAATGTTGGCAACTTATATAACTAGCCAACCGAATGGGGTCGATGACTCTTAGTGAGCCAACAATTGAATCACATCAATTAAGGACTCTAACCTTCAAGATAGAAGCTTTTGATTTTGGAATTTATGATTTTGGAATTCTAGAATATTTATGTTTTCTCTGGCCTATTTGAGATATATATTCTTGTATATGATTATTTTGAGGAATTAAATTTGTGTTTTGCGCAATATGGATGCTTATTTTATATATACTCTTCATATTTAGTGGCTCTAGTTTATTTATATTTATGGATGATTGACTTACTTTGATTAAGAAATTAGAGTTAAATTTCTCGATCTTTAGATCTGAACATACTTCATAACTCTTCATACTTTGATGATTGACTCTAAAACCCCTGCATAACTATTAGCGTCATGGGGTGGTATTAAAACAACGATCGAGAGGAATTTAATCAATACCAAAATCTTAGGAGATAATTTGTTAGGAGTGAGAATATGTGATATCATTTTAGAACTCGTGTTTTATGTATGTTTGAGTTCAATAAATGCGTTTGATATTAAATCTCTCCTCATTTTTGTCTAGTTTGAAGTGTTACAGTCATGCACTCTCAAGATCCTAAGGTACCTGATGGGCAGAGTTCTAGAGCTGCTATGATTCATAATACAGCTGAGGTTGTAATGTTAGACTCAATAATGCATTTTGTTAGGATGGTAGCACAACTGATGGGTGAAGTCCATAGCAGAATGTTTGGGGTGAGAGGAGACGGTATTGATCGTCATTTGCAGTTATTCTTGAGATTAAAACCTCCTTGTTTTTAAGGGGTCATAGATCCTCAAGCCACAGAGGATTGGCTATTAAGGTTGGAGAAATGCTTGGATGGAATGCAGTGTTCGAAAGGTAGAAAAGGTGCCTTTGACAATATTGCTTTTAGATGATGAAGTTGAGCACTGGTGGGTAGGCTCGTAGAGAGATAGATTTTTGGATTGAAAAAATGTTTAACATTTTCGAGGAGGAATTTGTGGAGACCTTTAGAGGCTAATTTGTTTTGCTTTCTACGAGGAAGCAAATGCAGGAGCAATTTTTTAGGCTGGTCCAAGAAAGCAAGTTAGTGATGCAATATGTAAGTTATGAATTTAGAACATAATTATTATTCTTAAAAATTTGTAATTTGAACTATCGGTCATAAAATTACCCGGTGCATTGTTTAATTATGAAGGGTTGTGTTGTTTTAGGGAAAGAAAAAGGAATGAGAGAACCTCTCGATATAAGTTTAAACAATGGATAAAATAAATGCATATATAGATCATAGGAAATCTAGAAATTCATCGAAGTGACAATGACATATGGAGTCATTTTATTGTATGTTGTACAAAATATAAGTTCCGCATATAATTGACATAATTATAAACATCATCATCAAAACAATCAACAATTTGATTTTCTATTGAACATCAAGGCATTTTCCTCATAAAATTTTCATTGGTGTTAGAGCAAGTTATTTATTAGATAACTTCTTTATATAATGGAGAAGCTGTCACTCTTGAATTTCTCTTTTCCTTCACACGTCACAATTGGTGAAATTTGATTTGAACTAGGTCGAACCTATTCCGAATGACTTAGGCTTCGTTTGGGATGGCGTTCTTCTTGCTTTCTAAAACAATTTTTTAGAACGAAAATTTCTTGAATTTAAATTTTTTATACTCGAAAGTCATTTTAGAATGTCATCCCAAACTGAGCTATGATATAATGCCATCCAGAAAGCTGAAGAGAGCATTAACAAAAGCTGGAAAGAAGGGAAACAAAGTAGGGAAATGGAAAAGCAAGTCAATTAGCTCATTGGAATGCCAGTTCAAATCTCATGTGGCCTGTTCAGAAAAATGTGAGGAGAGGGAGGTAGAGAGTCTCTGAAGCACATTTTCATGTGCAAAATTCTTGGTGGGGTTCTATCCCTCTCATTATTTCTTAGTTTTTGTCAAACTTGTTGACCTCTATTTGGTACCGGTTGAATAATTGTACATGCATTTATTCTCGATGAAATAGTAACTAAGATTTCATTTCAAACATTTTTTTACTGTTTTTAAAAGCAGCTTTTCATTTCTATATTTTGTTTGTGATTTAGCTTTTGCTATTATTTCAAATGAATGGCGTCGCTCACGAGCTCCAGCCGAAAGACAAAACTTATGGTATTTGGTTGCGGGTGAACAGTGCAATGCCAATATTGACGTTGCACTGTTCACATGCGTTATTTTTCTGTTCCACCGGATTTGCTAAAAAAAACACGCGAAGGAGAAAGACGATTACCTGGACGTAAAATAGAGTTTGATTGAAGATGAATCATGCCTTTTCTTAGTTTCACTATATTTTAGAGTGAAAGATGAGATTTTCGGTTAGAGATGCCCTTATGTTTTGGTGCAATTCTGTCATTTTTTAGGGAAATGATAAATACATTTTGGACGTCCACAATAAGACTCCCTGGAAGATCATAATGGGAAATTGGGATTTTTTTTTGCAATTTTTTTCTCGACGGTCTCTCTGGCAACCAGGAGTTCTCTTATCTTTGATATCTAAATGATTACATGTATATTTTGCCATTAGTGAGTCCTATTTGCTCTCACCTCTATAGGACTTATTTTTTATTGATTTATTAATCTTTTGCTTCAATTTTCTCTCTTCTCTAAGTTATTAGTTAATGAAATTGGGTCGTGCCCTTTTCAAAACAAAACAAAATCCTTTCTTTGATTTCTTACTCCCGTCCAGCTACAATGTAGCTTAATACAAATAATTTGCTAATTACCTAATTCTCGCCCGATGGTCCAACATATCGTAAAAACAAAAAAATAATAATTCACGGCTCCGCCGAGCCGTCGGATTTCAAATAAACGGTTGAAGTGGAAGATGGCAAGCTTTCCCTCATAAACCTTATCACCCCCGCCATGGACGGCCGCAGACTAGGCTGGTCGCCGACGCAGAGCGCCGCAAGCCCTAACGCCGCCGCCGCCTCTTCCTCATCGAAACTCCCAGCGACCATCGGATCAACCGCCACCGCTGCTGCTCCTCTCAATGCTGCCGCCGCCAGTGGCGGGCAGCCTTCTTCTGCCGCGATCGCTGGCAAACCGGTAATGAGCTCAAGCAACATCACGCCGAAGCTGTACACATCGCTCTTCTTCGAGAAGATCCCCGTACGCAAGTAGTGTGGGTCGGTATAGCCCGGCGACCCGATTATGGGGTCGCCGGTGCCAGCGGGTTTCACAGCAGCCGAAAAGCCCACCCTAGCCGATCCGAAATCACAGAGCTTCGGCCCTCGCCGTTCGTCGAGCAGCACATTCGCTGCCGTAATGTCGCCGTGGACGATCGGAAGCTCACCACCTTCGTGGAGGTAGTCCACCGCTTCCGCCACGTGGAGCGCAATGCTCAATCGCCGATCCCACGGAAGCGGCGCCTCGCAGCCGACGAGTCGATCGCGAAGAGTGCCGCCGGGTATGTATTCGAAGACGAGAGCGCTGGCGCCGTCTTCTCCGTGGTCGCTGTATCCTATGAGGCGGACGATGTGAGGATTTGAGAGACGGAAGAGGACATCAAGCTCCTGCTTGAAGGCGCGAAGGAGACGCTCACTATTGCCGCTGCGGTGGAGCTTCACGGCGGCTAGAGAGGAATCTGGGAGGCGAGCGAGATAGACGGTGCTGAAACCCCCTTCGCCAATAACATCTGAGGTGAATGAGTTTGTGAACAATTCGATCTCCGCCCATCTGAATCGACGGAACAGGATAGGGCTGCTGGTGAGCCCGGCGGGTGAATCCGGGCCGTAGGCGATGGGAGCGGGTGTTTCGCCGTCGCCGTCGCCGTCGGTAAGACTCAGTCGATTGCCGCAACAGGAAAGTGGAGTGAACCGGCGGAGGAATTTGAGGTATGTGACAGAGGCAATGGTGCTGGAGAGGAGAAAGGCGGCGGAGAGAGCCATGGGGAGAATCATCGTTGCATTCTTTCTTTCTTTCACTGGTTTCTATCTCCTCTCCGTAAATAAAGACCAATAAAAGATCCCATCCCGATTGAGAAATCTGAAAAGCGAACGAAGATGAGAAAGCTGGCGACTTTATTTGGCTGTGCCTTTGCAGCGGAGAACATGGATTTTGAAATCTAAGGACCAATTTGGTTGAAGGTAAAATTAAAATATAATAAATTTTAAAAATTGAAATATTGTAATTAGGTTATTTTTTATATATATTGAATTCATTCAATTAGGATGAATTCAAAATATATCATCTTAAATTCTTAATTAAGAAGCATAATCCAAGCTTATTACTTTGGGCGATAAGGCCATGCAGATGACTCATATAGATTTTCAATTTGATTATATATTTGGTAAAATTTAAATTCAGATAATCTTGAATTTGAGTATGAAAGTTACCAATTAAAACATTGCATAAAAAATTGTGCTTGGCCAGTTGAATTTCTAATGAAAATAAACTTTAAAAATTAAAGTAAAATATATCTAATTTGATCTGAGCTAAAGTCAAGTGTTTTAAGTATGATTGTAAACTTTGGGACATTAAGTGAAAGATCAAATGATCTCTAAATCATTTTTGCTTATAGTCAAATCGAGTATCTTGATACGATGAATCTAAAGAGCTCAAGATCATTTGATTTTGAAGTAATTAAGGCACTTAAATATTAATTAAATAGTATATAATTAAATTATTCAATATGGACTATCCAATAGAGTGTCATGATAATTTGACTAGCTTTGTCAAAAGCCCACTCCCTAAAATAGACTATTGTAACTTGGCTACAACGACACCAGTTGACTTCGTCTCTCTTTGTTGCTAATAGTGTCGACATACACCAACATCTATAAAACCAATGCATGCTTTTGGCATTGGCATCACTTATTAAGCTAATACTTACCATCAGTCACAACATTAATACATGTTATCACTAATAAGGTATTTGCCCATGGTCGACACCAACTTTGACTCCAAAATTAGACTTTGATCTTATATCCTTAAAGGAGAATGAATGAACATGCCACAAATGATCTCTTGAAGATAACTCCAATATATCAAGGCTCATACAACTTCTAACAAAAAATTCATTACCTGCATTTCATGTTTACTATAATATTTTAACATCTTCCCCAATTACATGACAATCATCATTTGTAATTGATAGCATACACTAGTGGAATGTTTCAATTAGTTTGTCCAATATTTTTCACTACTACGAGTAAAAACTCTGGTATCAAACTTCTTTTATTTGTGTGTATGCTAAACCTTCGTAAGAAGCTAAGACATTAAGCGCCAATATTTCATTGCCATCAAAATTCTAACACAACAATTTCAAATTTTTATAATTAAATAGCATGCAATGATTCTTCCTAAACATCTTCAACTAAGGTGAGTACCTTAGAGGGCTCATTCCTTATTCTTTATTTTATATGCAATTATTTAATACAAGGTGCTTAGATTAAGGTTAATTTGGGACGGCTTTTTTATTACTTTTTAAAGCAACTTTTTAGTTTTACTTCAAAAATTAATAAGAAAGATATCCCAACCCAAATCTTAATGAAAATAAAAAAAATAAAATATAAATTTGCTTTAACTGTCATAGAAATGTTAAAGAACGACAGGCAAAAATCCTCAATGGGCACTTCTTAATTGAAGTTCTTAGAGTAACTCGGCACCAACAAAAGACGAAGAGAGTAGCTCCCACGTCCTCCTTGAAAGCTTTTCCTTTCACCAGTAATTGGCAGGTTCTTTTCGCTGAAGGACTTATAAGGAATAAACTAAATATAAAAAATAAAAAATTTAGTTTCTTGTTTAGTTGAGAAGAAATGTAGTTCTTTATTCCTGTGAAATAGCCGTTAGAGGTGGGAACAATTATTTGGTTCGGTGAACGTACCGAACGTACCTCTACGTCAGGTCAGAGGACGTAATAATTGTTCTAGAGGTGGCCACTAAGATCTACCTTCACTTTCAAAAAGAGTAACCCTATTATATCTGCCCTTTATATAGGTAATGGACTCGTTAACCTTCTCAAAAGCAGAAAAAACTTCACCCTTCAGCTTTACTCAACGCCTAGACTTGGAAAATCCATCCCAACAGCAACAGGTGAAGATGCTGACTGCTTACATTTTTATTATTTTTGGATCAACAATTAAGGTTTAGGGAACAGTAATGGCACCAAAAGGTTTTGGACTCATAATCATTCATACAAAGGCGTCAAAACTGAAATTAAACTAACTCAGTAGCTAAAGTCACAAAATTAGACTCGGGCTTCATTTGTGACGGCTTTCTTTTTGCTTCTTAAAGCATCTTTCTAGTACAAAAAATTCAATTTTTACACTATAAAACTGCTTTAAGAAGCAGAAAAAAAGTCATCCCAAACGAAGCCTCAACAAGTTAATTTCATCCTTACTCTGCTGCCCAAGAACTTAGTCCAGAGCTCATACCGAAAAGGTCAATGGAAGGCGGCGGCAATGGCAATGGCAAAGGAGCGTCATGTTCAAACAAACCCAGCTGCAGTAGGAATCTATGAAGCAGCACCCCAGCTACATAGGAAATGCCGGAGGCTGAGAATCCTAGCCCAAGATAATAAAGGAAAGTTTTGATATAAGACTTTGGTTCGCTCACATGAGCCTTTCCAATAGAGAGTAGAGCAATGCAGAGCAGTGAGGAGAAAGCAACTGCAATGGTCTTGTCCTCCTTTAGGTCGCTTTCTCTAAATGAGAAACCATAGATGAGAGGAGGAAGCAGACCAAAGAATAGATATGACATTATGGCTACTGTTGCATGCAAACCAAAGTTTGATTTTCTGCCTAACAGCTTCCAGTAGCGACCACTCCGCTCATCATTTTGAGTTGCAGCTGCACTGCTTTTGAGTTCTGAAAGCTGCAAATGGAGATATGGGAATGGATGTAATACTTAAATACAAATGCTGAATTGAATATCCAAATTGACTATTGAAAGGTTCTTACATCATGTAACATCACAAAGAAACCGCCTATAAGATTTGCCAATCCAAGGGCAACAATATTCACTGCAAAACGAAAGAAATTGGTGAAACTTTATTATATATCTATATATAGTAGAGGTGAAAAACAAATCTCAAAAGCGTTGTTTGAATGCTATTGAGGTTTGAGGCAACAGAACAAATTTGAGATTTGAGGCAACATAATAATACGATTGATCAACACAATCAAATTCCACACATAACACATATCGAGGTTAACATCACAAAAAGTTGTTTCAGCAATCAACTCAACCTTATTTTAAGATTAATTTAATTATGAAAATAAAGTGCATCAAATATTAGTTAAAACGAGAGCATATAACCTACCAAATAAGCCTTTTAATCTTTTTAGAGAAACTGTTTAACTCTCAATATATCTTTATTCAATAACTGATGAGCATCATTGCTCAACAATTATTTTATACTGGCTGTTGTTATAGAGAAAGAAAAGGAAAAACTTAATGCAGAATATATTAAAGTTTATTTTACTTTATGTTTTACGGTTTAACATTGTTTTATAAAACTTAAGACCATAATGGCAGCGAGAGTTGTTCGGAAAGATCTAGAGAAAATTATAAAGTAGAAAATTCATGCTTACATGTTGAGGTCTTAGCACCAGCGGCCGATGATACTACACCAAGGCTGGTAATTGATTCAATCAAACCCCCATATACGATACTCTTTAGAACTTCCCATTCATTTTCTCTTCTTGTTTCCACTAATATCTGATTGCCAACACTAATCTGCACATCACCAACAGGTAGGAATACTGTAGGCTGGGCAGCAGAAATGCTAATGCTTAGATCCTTTTGAGAAGTTCCTTGGGAAGAAGGTTCAACTATTACAATAGGCTTAATCACATCATCATCTGCTACAGTGTTAGAATAAACCAAGAGAGAAACAATTCAAAAGGGAATATAAGTAAATAACGAAGACAGAAGACAACATGTTCCCATTTTGAGTCTAACCATGGGGTAAGAAGACAGTAGCAGGCGGTATTATTCCATCAAAATCATGGTTGTTTTGACCAATTCCTCCTGATATAGGAGGCTTGTTTATGATCACTGGCATGATATCACCATCATCTAGAAAGTAAATTACATCAACAAAGTGCATAAAAACAAACAGAACTCACATCATCTGAACATACTTCATAATATATCACATAACTTGTTTAGGGATCATAAAAAATGATTTTTTATTTTAACGTAATCAGTTGTACAGGAAGTTTGCAGGAAAATAAGAAAATGATATCCATTTTACTGTTTCAATGACGTCGCGAGCAAACAAACTCTGAAACTTTCTTTCCAATAAACCAAATTATACTGCAGCAAAACAAAATTTAGGAAGTGCAGGTTCAAGGAGAGATAAATTTGCAGGCTTCATAAATGTTAGTAATTACAATCAACAACCAACATCATATAACAATAAAAAGCTCACATGATAATGCAGTTTTACTTAATGGAGAAGCTTTGATAAATCTTTCATGCTAGGGAGTGCCTTCGAACTAGCGATTTGATGCTACGGGCTTGCTCAACATAGTAGGTACTAGGTATCATCCGTTTTCCTAATTGGCTGGTGCATGTGATTTTTTATGTAGTCTAGCAGATATATTGGAAAAGGATTTCATGCTATTAACATTATAATCTTCCATGAAGAGTTCATAATGAAGCAAGAGTAAATATTCTTAAATATGTGACGTGTCATCCATGCTGGAATTTATTTTTGTCCAAGCTAATGCTCAGGAGTTCTGAGAAGAAGCAAACCTGAACTGATCTTTAAAACTGTTGAATAATTTTCTCCAGCGTTGGCAGCTTCAGATACAGGTAGAGCTAGGGCGTTCTTACTTTCATTTTGCAATTGATCCCCACCAGATGATACATCAAGCACAATTGGAAATTGAGTTGCTGCTACTGAAATAAATTGTGTTAGCATCTAAAAGAGAAAAGTTGTAATCCATAAAATTGTATCTTGCACGATAAAGGTAACCCAAGTGCAGATCTTCAGAGTTTTACCCGGATGGAGCTTTCCATTGCTTGCATAACTTTCTTCAACTTCATTAGGTACCGGTATTGGTAAAGCTGTAATGCCATGATTTTCTTCTAGATTATGATCCCCACCAAATGAAATCTCAAGATGGGGTTGCAATTGAGCTGCTTCCACAAAATTGAACAGCTTTAGCAACTCACACTATCAACATAGAATTTAAGGGATAGATGAGTCATGCTGGAGGGGGTGCACTAAACAGAGGGCAGGCGAGCAAAGCTCAGTGTTGGTTTAAGAGAAAAAGAGACATCCTTCATCGATTAATAGCAAAATTGAACCCATTTGACCAGATTTCCATTGCATTTGCTCGAGTTGACTTATGGATTATATATGGAGGTCAATAGATAGAAATTCCTTAGTTTGTCTAAGTTTGGGTAATTAGATGTTGGGGACCAGAGGAAATATGATCCTAGGGACATATTTTATAAAATAAACCCAAATTTCAAAAATAAATAATAAATTATCCAAAGCTTCTACATCTGAATATTGCACTGTGTTAACTTGAGAGTGTTGCCTGACATTTTGATGTAGAACTGAGTATGAATGCAATGAATGTTGTAAGATTTTGCACAACTTTTGATTAGAGAATAACGAAGAAAACTACAAGCAGTTAAAACAACGGAATAAAACGTAGGAGGGGTCACGCCCGCTTAGGCTAAGTCACATAACCAGAAATTTGAACATTCAAAATAGATTAGAAAACAACATCATGCCAGAATAGTAGTTTTAATAAAAATCTCTAGTCTAACAATGAGAGCTAGAAGTAAATAGGTACACTCAAATCCTACTTTTACTAAGCTTAGCAATAGCAGGCGGAAGCGTCCTTCGTGACTTCAATCAATTCACAATAAATGTTAGACCTAAGAAACACAAGAGGAGTAGAGAAACTTCGTCAAGGATCGGCGATGGTCCTCCACTCGACGATCTTTAACTGCTCTTCAATAGCTTCCACCAAAGTATCCAAGATGTGTTCGACATAATCTACAACCGTATGGTCGATCCTCGGGTTGACGTCGAAGAAGGTTGAATGTAAGATGAATACAATCCCGTGGTCGTCGTACTTAAGTCCGTACTCGGTGTTGGGATCGGTCATTCATGGATGCTCGATGACAAAGTCTTCCCAAGGATTGCTAATACTCTTGAAGATCATTGACGAGAAGGAAGTTTCTCTAAAAGTGGTGTTGGTAGAAGGAGGCCGGTCAAGGGATGAGGTCGGGAGGTAGGAGAAATAGGTTAAGTGGGGAGAACAAATTGAAAACCTGAAATTAATTTCAGATTTCCAATTGGGAGGAGTTTAGGAATTCAACTTCAATTTGATTCCAAGAGAGAGAGGTGTAATAAGGTGGAGAGAGGAGATTGGGGAGAGAGGGAGAGGGGGCGGGTAGAGGTAGATGGCATGGAAATATTTCCAAACTCAAATACTAGGATTTGGAAAGTAAATAACATAGAGAGGCCTTGAGGATTTCGGCCAAAAGGAGGTGGGATGAAATTAGACTTGTTTCCAAAGGGGTTTAGAGGGATTAGAAAATAAATCCTAATTGATCCCTATAGGGGCCGGCGGCAATAAAGGCTAGGAGGAGCAAATTTTTTTTTTGGGGGGGGGGGGATTATGATCTCTTAATTTGGGCTTAGGATTTAGGAAAGTATTTAATCAAATCCAATTTGAAATTGAAATCCAAATAGATGTAAATTAAAAACTTTCCTAAAATAGATTAGTTAAATTAGGAAAGAATTTGAATTTCAAATAGATTCCTAATTAACTCTAACCAAACTAGGAAACCCCAAAAGAAAGGTGGGAGAGGGGATGGGGCGGCAGCTAATGGGTTAGGGCTGGCAGTTTAGGTGGAAACATGGATGGGAATGTGTGGGGCAAGGGGGTCGGGTGGGCAAGGGAAGCACAGTTTTGGGTGTAGCCAAAGTATAGGAGAGTATGTGGTGATGGAGGAGCATAAAGTGGCCGGCGGCAAGGTTTTGGGAGAACCTTGGTCGGCGGCTAGGTGAGGGAAGAAAGGTTTGCGAGGGAGATAAGGTAAGGAACCACGAACCCGGCCTTCTCCAAGGTTGGTGGGTGATGCGCAGATTTCCCTCTCCAAGGGATCTCTCTTCGATCTCTCAAGCTCTCTCAAGAATTCCAACAAGAAGACACAATTCTCAAATAATCATTCATTCATTCATTAACTTTGAAAAACAAAACAAGGGGCTATAAATAGCCTAGTACATGAAACTCAAGAAATAGAAAGACGAAAATGCCCTCGGGGCTTACATACGACATCCCTTTACTAGAAGGGTACAACGGGAAATAAAATAAAATAAAAACAAGTACAATGACACATCAATAAGAAAATACATGACATAAATCAAAAGTACAATGACTCGATCGTGGCCGTAGATCGGCGGCCCCACCTCTGATAAACCTTCCAAGATCTGATGTCCCCATCACATTTACCCAATAACAAAAAGGGTGTATTCAGTGCATGAGCTTCTCAACATAGTGGGGTCTGGAAAGATGCAACCTTAAGTTTACAATGTAATAGTTATGCTAAATCAACAACGTCCAGCAATTTATCGTAAAACCGATCTCATGGCTTAATAAAGCATATAAATATCACCATAAATAAGATATCACAATAAAAAATGAAGAAAAATCAGTGGCAAAAATATTCAGAGAATTAGCTGGCCAGCAACATTATTTATGGCATTTTGTTTATCTATCTTCTTCGTAATTTCAGATGCAGCAAGAAGCAATGAAGTTTTCTTATTTTCTCAGGTTATTTGTTATATGAGACTGTACTTCAGCATTAGGGAATCTGAAATTAACATTCAGTAGTATGCATCGACAGTTTCAGATGTATGGAAGTAAACAAGAGATCTTTAAGGAGAAAAAAAAAAGAAAATGCACAAGTTAGTGCCAAAACATGTGCTAACAGAGAATCATTTCCATCAAAGAACAAAGACAAAGACAGCTAAGGGATGTTTGGTATTGCTCGGTACAACTCGTTTTTTGGCGGGAATTTGCCTCCGACCGGACGTTCCTCTACGTCCGATCGAAGGACGTAATAATTGTTCATAAAATTGAGAGAGGAGTGCGTAATTTTAAAAACAGCAACCTCCACTACCTCAACTACCGTACTAGAAACGGCCATGTAGCCATCCAGCCGCACATTTATGACAACCCAAATCAATCTGCTGCATACACGTGTAAAGCTAAATCTCTATATATACCTCATGTAATACACAACAGACAATACAATGCTATACAGTAATTCATGAGATTCAAATGGATTTCTCTACTGTGCTTCCTGTACAGGTTTCTTGTTTTGTGCTAACTATTCTTCCATAGCAATTCTTCATGGTATCAGAGCAGGAGATCTCTCAGCAACTCCTGGTCTAAATGGCACAATCGTCTTCCTCATCTCAGGTGGCAGAGCATTGTAAAGACAAGACCTCTGAGCCATCACCCATCTTCGCATCTGTCAAACTGGTTTTAGCTAATATCAAAACCATCGTCCCTCTTCCTCTTTCTAACGACAACTACCCACTGTGAAAATCACAGATCCTCAAGCTTTTAAAAGCAAATGTTCGGTGGTCATTTAGACTCCAGCATCCCCATCCCTCAGCGTCTTCTTCTTCAACAGGACAACACCACCATTGTCAATCCAGCTTATACTCAATGGCAAGTCGCCGATCAGAATCTAGCTGCGGCAATATGCTCAACCATTACAGCCGCAATCCTTCCCTATGTTCTTCATCTGGAAAGTTGCTCGGAGATCTGGTTTACTCTCGAGCTACGACTTCAGGCATCCAACAGATCAAGGGTAATTCAATTGAAAAATGAATTACACAACATCTCTATGCGAGATCTTACAATGCAGCAGTATCTGACCAACATCAAGACCCTCGTCGATAACATCGCAGCAACGGGATCCAATATCGACGGAGAAGACATCATAATGTATACACTCAATGGCCTTCCACCTTCCTACCAAGCATTCAAGACTTCTATCCGAACAAAGTTATCCCCCCTCAGTCTTGAAAACCTGTATTCGCTACTCTTAAGCGAAGAGATTAGCCTAGCCGCAGAGCTAACCCGTGAACAGAACTTTCTAAATACTCACGCTGTGCTGTATACCTATCGCGGTCGCAGAGGAAGAGGACGCTTCTCACCAAGTAGTGCAACTAAAACTCCAACCACCCCGCCTACAGTTTACCAGATCTGCAACAAACGAGGTCACGCCGCCTCTCAGTGTTGGCACAGATTCAACGCTAACTACATTCCATCTTAACCAGCCGCAGCAGCCACCACCAAAGCTCTAATTACAGACACCTCGACCGTTTCCAACGACTGGTACATTGACTATGGTGCAACCTCACATCTGGACAATCTACAACATCCCACTACCTACCTCAGATCGGACAACGTCACAGTCGGCAACGGAGAAGCGCTTCCCATAGCGCATTCAGGTGCAGGCATCCTCCCCACGCCCAATCGTAAGTTGTCTCTCTCCTCTATACACCATGTTTTGAATCTTAAACACAATCTCCTCTCTGTTTCCACTCTTACCTCAGACAATAACATCTCTATTTCTTTCTCTTCATCTGGCTTCATCATCACTGATCTCAAGACTCGTCAAATACTACTCCAGGGACCATGCCGAAATGGGCTCTACAAAATTAACTTGCCTTCCGCCTCCTCCAGCGCTCTTTTAGCTATTTCAGCAAATACACTCTTATGGCATAACTGACTCGATCATACTCACAATCAAGTGCTTCGCACCATCTCCACGCAGCATCAACATCTCAGCATTCCAACTTCTGATTTTCTTTGCTCAACTTGTAAGGTCTCTAAAGGCCATAAATTAGCTTTTACCAGATCTCAAACCCATGTATCTTCACCCCTTCAATTACTACACTCAGATGTATGGGGACCATCCCCGGTTATATCTCACTAGGGATTTAAGTACTACTTGCTTTTAATTAATGAGTTCTCTAAATTTACATGGATGTTCCCAATGACTTATAAAAATGAAGTCACTCCTATTTTCATTAAATTTAAAGCTCTCATTGAAAATCAACTGTCCCACAAAATCAAGTGCGTGCGCACCGATGGGGGCTCTGAGTATCTCAATAGGGAACTCACAACCTTCCTTCAAACCCATGGCATACAACATCAAGTCTCTTGTCCCTATACCCCTGAGCAGAACGGCACTGCCGAGCGGAAACACCGCCATATCATCGAAACCACGCGTGCTTTACTCCACACCGCCGGTCTTCCACCCACATTTTGGCCTGATGCAGCCCTCACTGCCACCTACATTATCAATCGGCTACCCACAGCTACTACCAATCACATCTCACCCCTTCAAACTCTATATAATCAACAACCCAATTATTCCCTTCTTCGCACCTTCGGTTGCGCCTGCTATCCATGGAAGCCACCAGCCCAACGCCACAAACTTGAACCCAAGGCCACCCCCTGCATTTTCCTTGGCTACCTAGATTCCTACAAGGGCTATAAATGTCTAAATCCTATCAATAATAAAATTATCATTTCCAGGCATGTGACCTTTGATGAAACAGCCTTTCCCTACCCTCAACCAGTACCTCAAACTCCACCACCAAACATCCTTACCAATTCAAATCCTAATCCCCACCTATTAACTCCTACCTCCTCCTTACCCCACCATACAGCACCCATACAACCCGCAGCCAACTCCCCACCCATATTACCACCTCAAGTCCAGTCCCCTGCTACATACAATCCTATATCTGCTTCCCAACCCACACCGATAGCTAACCCCAGCCTACCTACCACTCCCATACAACAACCAGCTCCACCCGTCCCCTCTCACCACATGGTCACCCGGCTTCAGACATGTTCCCTCAAACCCAAACAATTCCTTGACCTCTCCCATATTACCACAACCTCTACTCAACATACCACTCCAGACCCAACAACCTTTGCCGAAGCCTAACAACATCCTCATTGGCAAGATGCCATGGCTCACGAATTTGCAGCCCTTCAAAAACAGGGGGCATGGACACTAGTCCCTCCTCCCCCTCAAGCTGCCCCGCTTGGATGCCGCTGGACTTATCGCACTAAATACCATTCAGACGGCATGCTAGCTCACCATAAAGCCCGCCTTGTTGCTCAGGGTTACCGCCAAGAATACGGCATTGATTACAATGAGACATTCAGTCCCGTCACTAAAATACCCACCATCCGCATTCTTCTAACCATTGCCTTCAATAAACATTGGCAAATTCATCAGCTCGATGTGGCGAATGCCTTCCTTCATGATAATCTCTCCGAGACCGTGTACATGAACAACCCCCCGGGTTTGAAAGTCACTCTCATCCGAACCATGCCTGCCTCTTACACAAAGCCATCTACGGCCTCAAACAGGCCCCGAGGCAATGGTTCAATACTTTTTCTACACACCTCATTTCTCTCGGTTTTACTCACAGCAAGTCCGATCATTCTCTCCTCACCTTCACCAAAAATGACACTCAAATGTTCCTCCTCATCTATGTCGATCATATCCTCCTCACCGGCAACAATCCCACAGCTCTCCACAACCTCATCAAAAGCCTAGATCAAAAATTCACAATGAAGCACTTAGGCTCAGCTCACACATTCATTGGCATTCAAATTCACCAACTTCCTCACTGCCTTTTCCTCAATCAAGCATCCTATGCTAACTCCATTCTACTCCGAGCTGGCCTATCTCACTGCAAACCCCTCTCAAATCCAATCTCCACCAAACCAATCACAGCTGAGTTTACCGACTCAGCTCTGTTCGATCCCCATATCTACCGCCAACTTACAGGGGGTCTTCAATATCTCACAATCACTAGACCGGATCTTGCATACCCCGTCAATGCCCTTTGTCAACATATGCATGATCCTCAACCTCCCCACTATCACCTTCTCAAACACACTCTCCAGTACATTCGTGGCACCTCCTATGGCATTCCCATCACCTATGGTTCCCTGCATCTGACATCCTTCTTCGACGCCGACTGGGCAAGCGACACCATGTCTCGCCGGTCCACAACGGGATATTGCTCATTCCTTGGCCACACAATCGTCTCTTGGTGCGTCAAAAGCAACACACAGTCGCACGCTCCTCAATAGAAGCCGAATACCGGGCTTTAGCAGTAGCAACCGCCGACGTTCTATGGCTACGTCGTCTACTTCAAGACTTCGGTATACCACTTCCCTGCCCAACCACAATATTCTGCGACAATGCATCAGCTATTGCTCTCGCCAATAACCTTGTGTTTCACTCCCGCACGAAACACATTGAGATCGATCAGCATTTTATCACAGATCACATACAGAACAATGTCATTACAGTGGCTCCCATCGCCACACAAGACCAACTCGCTGACGTGCTTAAAGCCACTGTCCACGCCCAAATTTCATTTTTTGCAGTCCAAATTGACAGTTCAGACAGAACCGTCCATTTGCGAGGGGGTAAAGACAGCAACCTCCACTACCTTAGCTACCGTACTAGAAACAGCCATGTAGCCATCCAGCCGCACATTTATAACAACCCAAATCAATCTGCTGCATACACGTGTAAAGCTAAATCTCTATATATACCTCATGTAATACACAACAGATAATACAATGATATACAGTAATTCATGAGATTCAAATGGATTTCTCAACTGTGCTTCCTGTACAGGTTTCCTGTTTTGTGCTAACTTTTCTTGCAGGTCTTCCATAGCAGTTCTACAAATTTGCCCAATAATAAGTATGATAAAGGAATATCGTATTGAAATTCAAGCTAATTTCAGGCTAAACTATTTGCATGATGAAAATAAAGAACAGAATAATATTTGATAAAATGAATATAAAAAATTAGTTATACAAGAGTTAAATTGTGTCTATGATTTTAAAAAAGAAGCCGACCTGCACCGTCATTTTTGGATTTCGCATTTTCTGCATAGTTTTGTGTTTCAGATGCAGAAAGAACCAGAGAAGTTGGGTACTTTTGTCCAGAATATCCAATATTAGAAGTAATAGGAGATTGTACTGGTAGCACAGCGCCCGGGATTGGCACTGCAATTTACAAGTTCATAATTAACATTAGCAATGATGCATAGATTCATTATTGTTCATAAAGAAAATAAAGAATTGTTGAACTCTTATGTTGTTTTATTTAGTCCAAACACTGTAGCAATTCAAAAGTCAATGTGCACGTAACAGCGTAAGATAGAGCAGAACTGAAGCTCAAATTGTTTCAATCAATAATATGAAGGAGTGCCAAATGTAGAGAAGTAGAAAAATAGAGAAAAAAACTACTTGAAATTTTATTATTTGATATGTACCACGCATGAAAGTACATGTAGACTTCTCCAACAGTCTCATAATACTGATATGTTACACACAACATAAGCATGGTCATTATTTGTTTAGACAATGTTGGAACTACAAACTTACATATTCAATCCATGAAAGACGATGCTAGCCAAATGTAGAAATCAAATCTTATCTACCATAAAAATCATCAATAAATCTTTTACATCACCCCTCTCCAATCTCCACATAGATAAAGAAGTTATTGCTCTTTTATTTGACAATCAGTTCCTATCAAACAACTCATTATTCCATACTTCCATCTGGTTAAATCATGGAAGTGCTAAGTTTTCAATTTTTAGATACATATAAATTCACTTCCTTCACCAAGTTCTTAAATGCAACCAAAAATAGGTTTGTTAAATCCACTTTATTTTCATATGCCAATGGCCCAACAACCAACCCACCACCTCCAGCTAAAAAAATAGAAAATATTACTTAGATGATTAACTGCTTCCAAGATGCCTAGCATTCAATTAATCTTACCTCATTCCCTTAAAATTTTAACTTTTATTAAGTTCATTTTGTTGAACTGCTGAGGAATCCAAAAATTTATAACAAAGACAAACCTGCTTCATTTTCTTTGTTCCTACTTGACTCTGATTTGAAAATAGAAGATAGCCGGCTCCCATCCTTGGAAGATGATTGTCCTGAGGATTGAATGTTGGGAACTTGCACGTCCACACTTTCCTCCCTTTTTCGGAAGATCCGGAATATATTAAACCCATTTTCTGCATGTAACAATAACAATACATTAAGTGAAAACGTGCCTCTGTAATCTCTCGCATATCATAGTAATCTTATGCCACTTATAATTTATTTGTAGTGCATATCAACTACTATGGTAAGTGAAACGTGCCTCTGTAGTATAAATAATGGAACAAAACAAAATGAGCTTTGCCAGAACAAGTACCATTTTACCGTACCAACAAAAAAAAATTAAGTCGAGTCCTGAAGTACCAATCAGATGCACTGAACAGCGAGAAAAATAAACTATATGTGATTCTCGGATTAGATAAACTTAAATAGATAAATAATTATTTCATATATTCGCCACTGGCCAACAAATGTCGCAAAATCTAATAACATATATGTAGTCCATCAAACAATTCCAATAAAAATATACAAAGAATTCAATTCTCATATTACTAGGATCAAGATGTTTGTTTTAGAGTTATTGAAACCATTACATAATCATATCACTATTATCAAGTGCAAAATATTTATAAATTATAATAAATCCTTATTATTTAAGATATTTTTACTTATGGCATTTTACTTTTTTTACTCAATTTGTTTGTCAATATATGGATAACTTTGCATCAACATATTATTCAATTCAACAATAATTATTGTAATTCTAGCTTTGCAGCAGTTTGGCTGTGAAAAAAAATTACTAATGAATTTGGAAAGTCAGTTAATTTTGTTTATTTTTCAGCATCTTGATCTTCTATATCATCACTGTGATAGGCAGAATTACCATGGACTTCCGTGAATATTTCCATTTTCATCTACTTAATCCATCCTCTGTGCATGTTAAGCCAAGATTCTTTGGTAGGCTAAAACTATGCAATACTTTATATGCTTGCAGTTGTATAAACTAGGGAGTCTTTTAAAGTGAGTATCAAAGGACATGGAGAAGAACAGTGAATTTTCATAAACCAACTCGAAAGATGAATCTCACAAAACTAACATAGCAATTTCAATAAAACTGAGTCATCCAATTGGCAGGAAATCAAATAAACTTCATAATGTTAAACAAACTGTGATCAGGTTGGATTAAAAATGAACAATAAAGATAAAATGCTATACCTGTTGGAATGAAAAAGCTAAAGCATGATAAACATCTGAATACGTCTGGCTCACTATCATGACTTGTTTCTACAATTTCAGTAGAAGTAGCCACAATATTTGGTCTAATATGCAGCTTCTCAGGGCGTTCTTCATATTGAAAATCTTGAACCCTTCTTTTCCTTTTGCGTAAAATTACTCTTTTGGTAATGCAAGAGTGGCAATTAGGACAAAACAAATCATGAGTTTCCTGCTCCTCTAATACCTTCTCAAGGTCTAGCTCTGAAACGTCTAATTTAAACGTCTTTTCAGCCTCACTATGCCCATGACTTTGCGGTTCAGTCTCAGTAGCTGGGACTACTTCATCTTCAACATTTACTACAGAATCCATGTGTGAATTTGGTCCATTTCCCATCTTAATGTGATTATAATCCTGTTTCTCTCCTTCCTTGGGAACACTTTGAAGATCATCCAAAACATCTGTGAATTCTGAATTCCCGTTTTCTAGTTTTTTCCCGGTATCAAAAGACTCTGGCTCTGTTGAATTCAAATTGGTGCCATCCGAGCTACAAAATTTAGTACCTGCAGGTATGCATCAAAACAAGTCATTTAGCATTAACTTCATCCATAAAACCTTCATTTCCCAGAATAAAGTATATGTCTTTACACTATGCTTCGCTGAATCTACACAGAAAATTCAGAAAGTATTCTTTCAAGGTGATAGAAAAGGAAATTTGCTATTTTGCACTTATTAATTTCCAACTTATTTCTAATAAATACAAAGTTATTAAGAAAAAAAGAGAGATAATAAATTGAGACAAAACAATGACAAAAAGTTGAGACAAACTAGAAACAAAGACTTAATATTCTTCTTTAATAGCAATGTTTTTGGGCTATTAGTTTAAGCTTTTAGGCTAATAGTTATGCATTTGCTAGAATATTGGGCCCATGTCATGTCCCTACATGTTTCAACTTCAAAAAGTGATATCAAAGTGTTGTAACATGCAAACTCAAACCAGACTCATGACTAGACCCAATAGCTTACTATGGAATCAAACCAGACCAATTCATAAGTTTAAATTTGTGTTTATTTTATCAGATTTATTTGTAAATTAGATAGAAATTATTATTTTTGGATAATTTTATTAATGACAGATCTTTCCTCGTAAGCACATCAATGAGATTGGTGGTGCCCGAATATCAAAGAAGAAGAGATAAGGAAATCACAGTAAGATCTTATTAGGAAAGTGTGTCAATAGAAACGATAAAAATATATTTTTGATGTTATTTAAAGAATTTAGTGTTATACAAGTAAAGAAACAATTTCAGTGTTAGATATGTCAACATGATAGTTTTAAGGGACATGCATGTAAAGCTCCCTAAATAAGATAACTATCCATTCTCTACTTTACTTGACTACTAGTGTGTGTAAGATTGAAAAAATCCAAGGAAATTGAGATCAATCCTCACTCTAACGACTCGATTTCCACATAAGTGATTCAACCCCATTGTTTGGAAAGGAAAAATGATAGATTCTAGAATGTCAATAACTCCAAAAAATGGGTGGGGGAGAAGAACTATAATAACATAGAGGTCATTTTATTTGATTGATTCTCTAATACTCCCTAATGGAGGGCGAATTATTACGTCCGGACATCCAATCCAGACGCGCCACGTCACCCAAATACACAGGGACCCGATGTATTTTGGTGACGTGGCGTGTCTAGATTGGTGTCCGGACGAATCCGGACACCGGACGTAATAATTTGCCCTAATGGAGAGTGCTTATAGAAATACTTATCTATAGACTACCATGGCCCGATACCACCTATTCATCCAATCTTAATTGATCATTACAATTATGAACCCTATAAGCAAGTCTAAGAAATAATTTTCAAAATTATAGCTTTAACAAGAAAAACTTACCCTTTTTTTTCCTTTTTACTGAAATGGTAAAATGTTGATTTTTCTAGGAAAAAGCCAAGGCTTGGAATCTTAGGTTGGGGAAATTTGGACAAATAATCTTCCAATAGCCTAAACCACATGTAACACTATTACTTCGTAAGTTTTCTTCTTCTCCTTTTTCTACACTTCAAGAATTAAAACTTAACAGAAAGAGCGATTATTATTACGATTTGGTATCAGAAATACATAACAAAATTATATATTTATTTTGTAAGAACTGGTTACCAGAAGCCAATAGACTAGCTAGACATGGAGCAAAAAAGCGAGCTAATAATTAAAAAAAATAAATAGAAATTTCATAATCAACATCGCCGGGCCCGGCGAGGAAATCAGTGAACATCAGCTGGCCCGGCGAAGGGCCCAGATTAAAGAGGATTGCAAAGCCGTCATTTTTCGCTGACAGCCAAAACCTCCATTTCTTTCCTTAAAGCAAAAGGTAGAAACAAAAACAAAAAAGAAAATATGGAAAAAAAAAAGAGCTAGAAGCAGCGCAACCTTGGTCTTCCTCGAGGGAAAAGCTCACGCTATCTTCTCTGCCGGAGGCCTCCTCATCGGCAGCACCATCAACCGCCGTCGCCGCAGCATCATTGCTTAATCTGGGCCGCCGCCGCCGCTTTGTATGGAGCCCACAGTCGCCTTCTGCATCTCCGGAGACCTCCTTCTCCTCCTCCGTCCACTCCTTGACCGGCACTTTCTCCATCAACGCAGAAGCCGTCGCCATCGCCGCCTTGGTCGCTTCTCAGCAGCACATACTGTTTTGTTCTACATTTATTAGATGAGCTGATAAGGTGCAAGCCTTTCTTAATTGCAATAAACAAATAGCGTTGCTGTCTTATTAAATGTTGCTTGAAAATCGAAACATCGAAGTATGGAAAAAAAGCATATTTCGCATTGATCATCAGCCCATGTTAGAAAGCGGGTGAGCCACTGTTCGTGGTGGCTATAAAAATCCTCCTTTCCATTACAAATTTTTGAACAAAGGAAAATTTATTTTAAAACATGCTGATGCGGATTGTTATTTTAATTGTTAGAATGTGGGCGAAGACAAAACTCAAAAGGGTGAGGATAGTATTTTTTTTATTTTAAAATGTAATAGAGGTGATTTATGACAAAAGCTGATATTTTGTCACAAGCGATTGATCCTTTTGATGCCGTTCACTGACGAACAAGGCAATAGATAATGAGATAGAGAGGTAAAGTTTCGAGAGAGAGAGATTGTGCGTGTGTGAAAGTAGAGCAATTATTAGGTCCAGTCAAAATTGTATGTATCTGAATGTATACAGAGCAATACCGAGTGCTCAATACTGAGTTTCAGGTGACGTGGCGCGTGGTTATTAGTTTATGAATGCGTTCGGTGACCGGACGTAATAATTGCTCGTGAAAGTAATGAATGGTGTTGTCATTGAGGATATTTGTAAGACATTGTCAATACATAAATCATTGGATCTATTTATTGAGAATTTAGACTATCAATTAATAAATTTGATATGAATCTGTCTTAATTGGCATAAATGTTCAAAATTGTTTGTGAAGGTAGTAATAAAAATATAATATATATAATAAATTTTGACTAATAAAATATTGAATAAGATTTTGACCAATTTCATTAATAATTTAAGTATATTAGCAATGATAAACCTAGAATAATTAATAAAAAAAGATTACAATCAATAATTAATTATATATTTGTATTAAATTACTTTTTAATTATATATTACTATTAAATTATGATAATTAACTGTTTGATAATTAATTAATCACTTAGGCTTCGTTTGGGACGGCTTTTTTATTGCTTTTTAAAACGGCGTTTTAGTACAAAAATAAAAAATTTGTACTAAAATTCCGTTTTAAAAGTAATAAAAAAACCGTCCCAAACGAAGCCTTAATTACTCATAGTAATCAATAAGTAGATATGATTAATAAGGATTTTAATAAAAAATAATCATAGTAAACTTCATAAAGTTTAGGGTAGCTTACTTAAGGTTCCATAATATATGTTAAAGGGAAATTCATGCTGAATTATAAATCTAATCATTTTGTTGGTCAAATAAATAAACTGATTAAAATTTCATTTGGGGGAAAATTATTCTATGTTAAACCGGACGGCGTCCGGAGACCAATCAGAATTCGTCATATCATTTTCTGGCTATGTACCGGTGCTTCATACCGTAGTGTACCAGGTGATATAGTGCATTCTAGTTGGCCTACAGATCATCCGGTGTCCACAAAAAATAAATTCTCTCATTTTGGACGACTTTCTTACTGCTTCTTAAGACTATTTTTTAGTATAAGAATTTAAATTTGTACACAAATTTTATTTTAAGAAGCAATAAAAAAATTTTAAGGAAATAAATTGTTATGATTATCTCAACTTATAACAAATTTATCTTAATTTCAGTTAAATCATAGTTGATAAGATGTGATTTTAAGGAACAATGAGGTTCCTTCTTTTACCATTTTGAATAAATGATTTCAAACACTGTGAGACATGTGATAGCATTAATTTTATTTTTAAAAAATAATTAAAATATATATAAATGTGTAACAGTTGGTTTCTACTCACGACTAAGGTTGGCAGAGCTACGTCCGCCATTAATGGCGTCCGTTGATTTTTGAGCGTACAGGTAAGAACTTATAGCAGAAAATAATTAATTATTTATCTAACTTGATCGGCCGATCGGATTGATAGTCAGGCAGGCCCACCGAAATCAAGTTTTTTTTTTTATAATTTTCCTATCATAATTTTTTTTAAATGATAATTTTAATCAACTAATTGACTAATTGTATATATATAGGCCTACCAACTTTTTTTACATGATTTTTTTATTTTAATTTTATTTTTCCAATCATCTAATATTTAATTAAAAGATTGTGCTCATATTCAATCAACGGTAAGAGAGTGATCTATAAAATTTTAAGTGAATCAAATTGCGCTTAGTATTGTGTCGTTTGATCTTATTTGTTCAAGTTTCGTTTGGGATGATTTTTTTATTGCTTTTTAAAGTAATTTTTTAATGTAAAAAAATTAATTTTTGTATTAAAAAATTACTTTAAAAAGCAATAAAAAAAAGTTCCAAACGAAACCTTAATTTTGCATTGACTTGAGTAGAGCTTGAACATAATGTGAGTTTTAAAATTTTATTAAATGAACTTAAAATAAGCATTATATGAGTATATATTAAGTTATTTATTGAATGCACTTCTTGGTTTATAGCCTTAGTGGAACCTTGGCATTTGGGAATATGTCACTATGTACATTCTTTTTTATATGAAACTCAATGATTATTCTGTGATATAGGACAAGTGATAAGTGTATTCTAGCACATGTAAATATGTACTTTCTTTTATGGGATGTGCTGAATAAGATTCAAATTCTTCTCTTATATTTATCTCTCCTTTTTTTTATATGATGTATGAGCATTGACTTTAAAGATTCGTTTAGGACGGCTCTTTTGTTGAGTTTTAAAGCAATTTTTTAGTTCCAAAATTTGTTGAAGTAGAAATTTTTTTTTATAGAAAGCTGCTTTTTAAAGCTGTCTCAAACAAAGCCTAAGTTCACGATCATTTCTCTTCCCTATTGCCTTTTGCTTAGTAAATATCCTAGTGCAAGAAAAGCCATACGTTAGATTGGCACTACGGGAAAACACGCGATTACCGTCGGAAATTCCGGCGGATATTTTTGCGCCGGTAAGCACGGCGCATTATTGCGCCGAAAATCTACGGCGGACTTTCCGGCTCAAACGACGCCGGAAAAGTTCCGGCGATATTTGCGCCGGTATATGCGTCGGAATAAACCAATATCTCACTATTTTCGTTGCACTTTATGGCGGAAAATCACCGGCGCCATTACCGGCGGATATTGCGCCGGGGTATTTAAACTCAACGAAACAAAACCGGCAGATGTTGCGCCGGAAAAATCTCTGGCGTCCGATCCGCCGGAGAAAACCCTATTTTCCGTAACCGAGCCCCTCTGGCCATCACTTCTTTCCTTTCGTTCTCTCACCTCGCCCGTAAATCGTCGTCGCCCTCCGTCGCTCGCCCGTAGATCGCCGTCGCCGATGGTCAGAGGAGTTTGCCGACGAGTCTCATAGCTTTTGTGGTCGCTTCACCGCCGACGGTCGCTCATCTTCGCCGACGGAAGGTTTTATTTTTTCGTTTCTTTTGACAAAATTTTTTCCCATTTCAGTTGGATTACATAGATTAGGTTTAAGAACATATCTTTTTTGCTTTAGTCATGAATTTCTTTTTTGCTTTAGCCATGGATGTTCTTACCATACATTTGCAAGAGGATGTACCCTATTGTATGCTTTTTGCTTTAGCCATGGATGTTCTTACCATACATTTCCAAGATAGATGGTCTTGATATCTCCAAGTGCTGATTTAGGTAGTGGGAAGGTAGTACTAGCCTTTGGAATGCTTAATCATATTGAGAATAAGTGTCTATTATGGAAGCTATACATTTTTTGAGAATAAGTGTCTATTATGGACACTTATAGAGAGAGGAGGATCTACATATGTTGTGTTTAAACACATTGCATGCATGTGTATGCTTTGACCAAATATTTTCTATTTCAATTGGATTACATCAAGGATCATAGCCCATATCTTTTTTTCTTTATCCATGGTGAAATATAGAGTGAATAAGAAGGATTTACATATGATACTTATTGAATTAGAAAAAAACATATGATAAAGTTCAAAGAGAAGTGCTATGGAGAGTTAATTTTAGAAAAGAAAGGATTTACATATGCTATGGAGAAGTGCTTTGGGCGATCAAGTCATTAATAAGAAAACATGTTATTAGTAGAATTCAAGTTGGTTGGTTAAAGTGGAGGAATACATCAAACCTGTTGTGTGATAGAAAAGGACTACTCAAACTTAAGAGAAAATTCTATAAATGATGGTGAGACCTGCAATGCTTTATGTCACATAATGTTGGCCATTAAAAGAGAAGTAAAAAATTAAGTTAAGTATTGTAGAGATGAGGATGCTCAAGTGGCTGAGTGTCTTTACTCTTAGAGACAATGCTAAATGGAGACAATGCTTCAGGCCTATTGTGTGATATATAGTGGAGGAATGCTTCAGGCCTATTGTGTGATTGATATAAAAGTATATGTAAGGATGAGGTGCTCATGTACTGAATGAGTTGCTTTTGTATCTTCTTAGACAGACAATGCTAAATGATCAAATTTTTACAAGCACACCCTGATTTTTTACATCTCTATATTAATTCAGTTTTCTAGATCTATTTAAGAGCGATAATCCATTACTTATTGCTCTTATATGTTGAGGTGTATGGATATTAGAAACTCAAAAGAGTTGAGATGATATTACGATTTATCTCAAGGTCGAAGACATAACATATAGGGCTGCTAAGCGAACCAATACGTTCGACGAGCTACTCGTGTTCCGTTCGATTAAAATGCTCGGTTACTGTGCATCTGTTTATAATTAAGCTAAGAAACAAACTTGAACAATATTTTTAAATACTCGATTCTATAAATAAACACATGAATAGTGTTCGGCTGCATTATGTTCGCGAAACACCATCGATTTGAAGTTCGTGAACAAGATCGACATTAAGCTCGATAGAAGCTTGATTCTTGTTCGATTTTGAACTCGTGAATAAGCTCGATAAAAATAATTAATATTTGACTATAAAATTAATAAATATAAATAATCATTGCCTTTGGTACATAGACTATTGCTTTTATTATAAATGTGTTTGTTCATAGATATGTTCATGAACATGTTTGTTTGATAGTTAAAAAAAATTCGTTAAATATGTTCGCGAACAAGCTCAATAAGCACTAAACGAACGAACATGAACTGAATATGAACCGAACATGAACACTCATTAATTTAAATGAACCAAACATGAATACAAACAATAAAGCTCGAACAAACATGAACCAAACTTGAACAAACTGATATTAAATGAACACAAACATGAACACTCACATACTAGGCTCGACTCGGTTCGTTTGCAGCCCTATTAACAGATGAATTCATTAATGGGGTGAACTTTTTCATTCAGCAAGCGAAGCGACTACCCAGCTTTTTATCAGAAGGAAAGTTTCGATGTCCATGCTCTAAACACAAAAATCTAGTGCACTTAGAAATAGATGATATAACTGTTGATCTGATTAGAAAGAATGACAAGATTAGAAAGAATTTTGAGAACCGTGGATCTACTCGGATGCATGACATGTTCACAGATATTAGAAAGCATGAGAAGCGACCATTGTGGATTGGAGAGGATATATGGGCTGAGTTGAATGCAGCTTGGGGCAGCAAAGAGTACACTAGGAGGAGGGATCAAAATCGATAGAACAGAGCTTCTGATGTTGGGGGCTTGGGTAGTTCACTTCATACAGGATGCTCCGTTCCACATACTGAGCACAAGCGTCGTTTGGTAATGAATTTTAAATATTTTTTAAAATTGTTCTTTAATTTATATTAATAAAATCCTCTTAATTCTAACAGAAAGAGACGCTTGGTAGAGAACTAACTCCTGTGGAATTGCATAGTCTCACTCATAAGCAACAGAAGGATTAACAATGAATTGATGAGAGAGCTAGGAAAGCCCATGTAAGTATATATTTATATGTGTTTTATAATTTTTATTTTTAGTTTAATTAGATATATTAATACTCTACTTTCACAGGAGGAATATACATGGTTTCGAGAGACTCATGTCGCAGCAGGTGAGGGCTCTTCTGGCGGCTCTGTGGAGTTTTATGAGTATCCAGAAATTACCGGCGTATGTTTCGGCGTCGTATCCGTCGGAGATTTCCGACGCATATTTTGCACCGTAAACATCCCGCAGGTTATTTACAGCGTATCAACGGCGTTTTATCCGTCGGTAATTACCGGCGCATGCATACGACGCAAATTACCGGCGCATATGGCGCCGGATTCAGCGGTCGAAATGTCGACGGCTGCCATCATTTTTTGCGCCGGTAATGCGTTGGAAAGTGCGCCGGAAAGATTTCGGGCGCATATTATGCGCCGGAAGACTTTTATCGACGCGCTCCAAACCGGCGCAGTGATATCCGCCGGAAAGTGTGCCGGAAACCTATAATTCCAACGGAAATCTTGTATGAGTGGCGGATATTATCCGCCGGTAATGACGGGTTTTCCCGTAGTGTGGCACGCGATGGTTGTAAGAGGAATCATAATTGTCGTTGACGGAGATCAGAGGGACAAAAGTGGGTGGGAGACGTTGGTCAGAGCAGCCAGAGTTGGTGGGGGTTGGAGGTCGAAGGGACCACAGTTGGCTGGCAATGGAAGTGGAGGGATCGCAATCGCTGAGCGACGGAGGTAAGAGAGATTGCAATCGATGGGCAATGGTGGTTAGAGGGACTATAATTGGCAAACACTGGTGTTGAGCAGCCCAGCTTGATTATAAGCATACTATATTTAGAGATCATTTGATCATCCAAGTAATGTTTTGAACATTTCAAATCTGCTTCGGTCCTTTGATTTTGATCTATTTAAGTTCAGATTGGACCGATTCTGATGTAGTTGTGTTTGTCTCCTTAGTACATTCAATTTGACTATAAATTTGTTGAAATTAGAATTTAAGTGGTCCACATTTGATTTTAGAAGTTGCAAATTATAATAAGTCCCAAGATCCGCTCGATCAAAGCCATTTTTGGGGAAGTATACGTCTTGTAGCAATTTCAAAATCGTTGCAAGATTTTTTTTTAATGATTTTTTTCAATTTCAAATATCACATATGCACATAGTATTTAGCATTGTTGCGTGCGAGAATATACGTGGTGGTAGAGTTTTCAAATTCGCGTCCTAGCGTTGCACGAGTATTCCGCACACAAACAGAAAAGAGAAAGTGAACACCAAGGTTTTTACGTGGAAAACCCAAAAAGGGAAAAAACCACGGGGCCTCGCCCAGTTGTAAAGTTTCACTAGTGTTTTTGTAGATTACAAATGGAGGATTCATCCCACAAATTGGGATAATCCGAATACAATTTGTTTCTCCCAAGAAGTTTACAAAATTCTGCAGATTCTCTACGTTTTCCGAAAATCCGGCAAAGTTCTGGCGTCTTCAGGCGGCAGGAAGAGCTTCGGCGGTAGTCGAGGAGGTGAGGAATCTCCTTTTCCCCTTTCTCCTTCTTCTTCTGCGAATTCCTGGTGTTTCCCGAAAATCCGGCAGAGTTCCGGCGTCTTCAGGCGGCAGGAAGAGCTCCGGCGGCGGTGGTCGAGGAGGTGAGGAATCTCCTATTCCCCTTTCTCCTTCTCCTACTCTTCTTCTTCTCTCTCTTCACTTGAGCCCCCTTTGGTGTAGAATGAGGGCTCTATTTATAGTTTTTCTGGAGTGGCATAGCCCGTAAATAGTCGTGAGATCAAGGGCGAACAGGGAGTGGTTTGAATGGATGGCCGATATCGAATCCTTTGATCATGCACCGTTTGTTGGACATTTGAAGGCCTTAATGATGTCGGAATTCAATGATCTTGGACTCGTTGGATTCGTCTCGTCGAGCCGTTCGATTCGAGTATAAGCTCGTCAAAATCGGAGACCGTTTGGTAATAGTATTTTTAAATATTTTTTTATTTAAAATAAATATTTATCCTATTTTAAGCAAATTAAAAAAAAAGTTTTATAGTTTCCGGAAAGCTCTCGTTGTAATGGCCATCCTCAAATGAAAGGCAACTTAAGAGTAACACAACATGTTAGGCTTGGCGACTTGGCGTACTTTTATGCATTATATATTTACTTTAGACTTTAGACTTTGGAAGAAATGGGCGAATAAACGAAAATGATATATACCAACATCATCGTTTTTGTTTTTTTAAGAGATTTGTTCTCTCCAAATCCTGAAATTTAATATATAAAGCCAATAGTCAGCTATTTGTTGTACCAAAGCATTGATAATGAAGAGTTGACTCCACTTCTTTGCGATTTTTTTTTTTTTTAAGAACATGATATCCGGAGAGGAGGAGTTCGGCAGAGTAACTAATTCCTTGGTGTGTCTAGCAGCAACTAGCTCCATAACTATTAGACCACACACTTATTTTCTTCTCACTTAAGAAGTCGTGCAGCATGAGAGAGGAATACCCAGCTAAGCCTAATGGGGTACTCCTTTGCCATTGAAAATGATCGCATGGTTGGCTTAAAAACTATAAGATAATGGATGCGCCCAGTGTAAAATTAATTATAATTTTATAATCGCAAATTTAGAAATTTAAAAAACTATTATAGATAGTACAATTTTCTTCTTAAAAAACTAATTATTTTTATAACATTGTATTTTAATAAATATTCATTTACAATAATTTTTATATTTTATAAGAGGATTTACATATGTACTTGTAATTAAATTCATCTTCTGCTGTACTTGCAGCTATATTATTATTTTTTATTGCTGCCTAATGGATCTATAGGATGGCCCAACCTTAGCACTCTTTCAGGCTAAGTTGGCCCATTGAAATTTCAAGCTATCATTTTTGGGCCGTTATAAGAAATCTAGCAATTTTTGGCCCACTGATAGAAATCCAAAATATCAGCGTAATATGAATGCATATTCATCAATTTGTTTTCAAATAAATAAAACATAATTTTTCATAGAATAATAAAATAATCTAAAAAATTACAATTTAAGATTTAAATCATTATACATAGTACAATTTTGCGATTTCTAAATAATTATTTCCTATTATTCTAATTTACTAGCAATTTCGGTCATACTATCCATAATAATTCCAAAAGCATCGCGAAATTTCCTAAATTGTGAGCCGGCATCTCCATACAGCAATCCAGGCATTAGCTCATATATAATGTACCTCCTCATCTCCTTCCTCTTATCCGGTTCCACAGCTCTCAGCCTTTCCATCACATTCACCTTCCCTGTTCTCACCTCCTCCTCCTCCACATAGACCGAATACTTCTCGTAATCCTCCGGTAAGTGCCACGGGTACTGATAATAAGCGGTAAACGGGTTAAAAATGACCGGTATACAACCCGCCACCAACCCATCGAAAACGGACTTCCTCGTCGGGCTATCTCCCGGCGGCTGTAAACAAAACTCCGACTCCATGAACGTCGTCATCACATCTCCCGGCTCGCCGCATCCGCCACCGCCGCAATCAACGAACCGACATTCCGCCGCCGCCGCCGTACACTGTTTTATCAACACCGACCTTATGCTTTCCGTTGACTCAGGCCTCGCCGCACCCACAAAACTCACCAGCTTTCCCCGCGCCGCAGAAGCCACCCGCGCCTGCCACGTGGCAATATCGTCGTCCGAATGCGGGTGGAAGTGGGTGGGGTGGGGGATCCCGATCTCATTTAATTCCCACGGCTGCCTCTCGATAAGAAACTTAAAGGGAGATTGCATTTCGGGTAAAGATAAAAAATTGCTGCCCCATGGGCCGTCGCCGACCCGACGGAAATCCCATGAGATTTTCCCGAGAACAAACATATGGTCTCTTCCGCTTCGTCGGGTCCATTCCGGGCGGGTCTCCAGCCACTTCACAAGCTCGCTGCTAAGCCTGTCTTTATCTGAGATCGAAGCGTTGGCGAAGTGCCAGCGGAGGACGTCGAGGCCGGCGTAGAAAGGGACGTAGAATAGTCGGGCTTGGGCCGGGTCGGAGACCCGGCAACGATGGTTGAGAACCCTGGAGTGAAAGATGGGCTCGAGGGAGTACTGATGGGTTCGGTACCAGCCCGGCCCGAGACGCGGAATGGGTAGCCCAATACCATCCTTGACTAAAAACTCACAGAGATCGGTCCATGGAAGAAGCTTATTGCATTGGGCTATGAGATCTTTATTGAACTTAGAAGGCAAATCGTAGACGAAAATTCCTTTACCGCTACAGTTAATGTTGGAGTTAGCAGAAACCCACTTGCGCATTAAATGGAGTTTTTCTTCAACTAGTTTAACGGCTTCGGAAATTTCATTATTGGCGGCGGTAATGGGTTTATAAGTTCTGGACAAGTTGGAGGGGGGGATAAGGTGGCGGAGGGAATGGGATAAGGCGCCGCTGGAGATGCAGTAGGAGTCGAGCTTGCGGGAAGAGAAGCAGATTTGGAAGGAGCTTGAGAGGAGGACGGACAGGGACCAAATGGTGAGGAGGACGAGGAGGAGGAAGGAGGTGGAGAAGGAGAAAAAGGAGGAAGTTTTGGGCGGCGAAGGTGGAAGAAAGGCGGCGGTTTTGGTCGGAAGACGCTGGAAATTTGATCGGCGATGCATGAGAGTGATGGCCATGGCGGGAGGGTTGTTAATTCGTGAATGGTTCATTTGAAATTGTGGAGTGGTTAGGTATTTATACTGCTCGCTCGCTCGCGAAAGCAAGGCTTAGTTTAACTATGGATAATAGGAACGAGGGAGACACGTTCGAAGGAGAGCACGTCGTTTAAGGGTTAGGATAAAGGAAAAGAGTGAAATTAAGGAGAAAGTTGAAGTTATGATAATGTATTTATTTTGAATTAATTTAATGCAATATGTAATTACTTAACTATGCAATTTATTTATCTTAAAATAAATTTGATGATTATTATATTTATTTTGATTAAATTTGAATTAAAATATTCTCAAGTTATTTAAAAAAAAGTTTACGTAAATATAAATTATAACTTTGATCCAATTTATTAAAGAAAAATATTTCTCCACAAGTTTAAATCACGCACTATATGATTTATTGTCTATCATTTAAAAAATTAATAATATTTTAAAAGAAAAATATTGAATTTGAATATTCTTATAATAATTTGGTTAGAATGAATTTATTTATTTATTTGAGATTAATACAATATACAGATACGCAATCAACACTTCTATCACTTTTTTTTTTTCAAATAAATCCAAAAAGTTTTAAACTCAATGTTATCATATTTTCATAACAATATTTCCGCCCAAATATTTTCCTATCATTTACAAATTAGATTAAAATATAATGAAGAATAACAATGGAATATTTTTTATATTTTATAAATCATGTGCTGATTTAATGTTAAGAATTTGAGAAAAGAATAATTCAATCGAAAATGAGTAATATTTCACATGCACAAGTGCCAAATACCAATACATAATTAATATAAGTAGGTGGCTCTCATTAAACTGTACATTAATTATAATTATTCAAATTAAATGTGTTGAATTTGTGTTAAAATAAGATTAAAAAGCATTATTCAGTAGCAATTAAATAATTTTTTATCATCAAGGGAGATATTCATAGTGATTCTATAAATTCAATATACAAAAAGAATCATTTAATTAAAATTTCCTGGTTAATCGATTTATTTTCAACAATTATTTAAAAGTTTCATATAAAGTCAAATTCTAGCATTTAAAAACCAAAAGATTTGATCTCACATAGTTTAAAAATGGTCATATAAGTGGCTTTATGGTAACCACGAACTTGTAAGAGTAGACAAGAATACAAAAAGATTATGAATAGCTAGAAATTTGAACTCAGCGGAAGGTAGTGATTAATTATTTTGTGCAGACGCCGAACGCCATCTGGAGACCAACCGGAATGCGTCACATCACCCTTGGCTAAATACAGCTAGCATGGCGCATTTTGGTTGATCTCCGAACGGCGTTCTGTACCCGGTCTCCGCACAGAATAATTTCTCCAGCAGAGGATATTTCTTTTAAAAAAAGGATTTTAATTTGCTAGTAAAGAGATTCAAATACAATTTTGATCAGGACCATCCCAGTTAAAATCATGTAGAGAACTTCACGGCCATTTCTATCTGAACAAATCCTAATAAACAGATAAAGAATCGAGTAGTAATATGTACATTTATAAGGAGTTTAACCAATGAGTGAAGTAAACATGCAATATATTTATTGCTTGCAGAATGAAGAGATTACAGGATAAACATTCTGACCGTTATTTCCTCATGAGAAGCACAACAGTGTGAGCAGCAATGCTACGGTTCTCGCCAAGACTGTCCACTTTTTCATGGGTCTTTGCTTTGATATTAACGACAGAAGGATCGGCACCGAGCAGTTCACATAAATTGGCTCTAATGGTTTCCTTATGTGGGCTCAGCTTCGGCTTCTGAAGAATAAGGGTGGCATCCAAGTTTCCCAGTTCATAACCAGACTCACGCATAAGCCTAACCTGGGATTCAATTACAATAACATACAGTTCAATTTGACAAGTACAGTAATAAAGGAGAAAACTGTACCATTATAGGCCCAAAGTATGGGTCCATTATAAAAGCTGTTGTAGTATTATAACAAAAAATATATATATATGTTTTGAAAGTTGCGGGTAATATACACAACTCATCTTGTTCTGTTGGTTGAGAGTTTAGACTACCAACTAAGAGATTTAAGCTTCGAGTCTTGTGTATGCGATGTGTGTGCGAGTCTGACTTAATTGGCCTAAATGTTAAATTTTTTTTTTTTAAGGGTATATATATATATATATTCCCCTAACTAACAAAGTCAAACAATATCTTTATTAAAACTATAAAATTCTAATATATTTGATTATGAAAATTACTTCACACCTAAAAAATTTCTGAAAAGAAGTAAGAATGCTACAACCATATAAGACAGTTTGAAAAGAAAAATACCAAACAGAGCCTGAGCATTAAGAAGGCTGGCATTAGAAACTGCCATTTTTCACCTTCAAAGAGATGCATATAAAAACCATTTTATTTCACTAGGATAGCGTTACATTACAAGACTACAAATGGTATTGACAAACATGAAAGTTGATGCTCATATTAGCATACAAAAGCAACAAAGCAGTCGTATTTGAATGTAGAATAGTATTTATGTGGAATACAAATGTATAGCTAAGAGATTATGGCGATAATGGTTGAATACAATGGCCTTACCATATGCTAATTTTAGGGGGGAAAATTGGTACAAGAAAATATTAGAAAAAAACAGTGGACTGCAAATAGACAAACATAAACTGTATCATTAACAATTATTTCGGTTTGACTTTAACAAAGTAATGGGAAATATAAGGGCCGTATTTAGCCATTTAAGGGAAGTGACGAAATATCATTCTGCAAAAGCTGGTTTGAAAGCTTTTTCATGAATGAACTATATATGAAATTTTGTTTCAAAATAACATGAAGCTATATTCATAGGGTATTCAGCCTCTAACAAAGGTATAGAATCTTTAAAAAATGGATCATGAGTGTAGGAGAATCTATTTATGTGATTTTTGATGAATTTAGAGTTGCAAAGAAAATAAATAACATAGATTATATGGGCATAAACTTTTTTGAGAAGCTTAATATCAAGAAGAAGATTGATAATGATAAGGACAATGATGGAAAAAAAAGTATAAGAGCAAAACCTAAAGAGTACATGTGGCGAGATTCATTACAGAGTGTTAGAATTAGAATTTGTTTTAAGAAATGAAATAAAACTTATTGAATTAACATAATAAGTCAAATATAGGGATATATAGAAGAAGCTTTGTAAGATGAATATTGGATAGTAATGAAAGAAGAATTAAATCAGTTAATTAGCAATAATACATCATGTATGAAAATCAATCCCAAAACCCAACAATCAATCAGTAAGTAGAACCAAATAGATCTTTATGAATAAATTGAATGAATCAGAAATTATAATTTAGAACAATACTAAATGAGTAGTTAAGAGATTTAGCCAAATAGCGAGTGTAAATTTTCAAGAGGCATTTGACTTGATAGTTAGAAGAGAAACCAATAGATTGCTCCAAGACTTTGTTTGCTTTGAAGGATATAAATAGCACAAAATGGACATAAAGAGTTCTTTGAGGAAGATGTGCATGTTGAACAAACTTTAAGATTTAAGCATCCTCATTTTATGGTCTTAAGTACACATGGCTTGAACAACTTAGTACCTGCTTATTTGATTATAGATTCACCAAAAGGAAATTAGGCAGTACTCACCCAGTTAGAAAAAAAATCCTTGTTATCCAAAACTATGTGGATGAGATACTCTTTTGATATAACTGATGAGAATTTGTTCCATGGGATTGATTTTCATACATGAGAATTTTTAAGCAGCATGATCATTGAACTTAACTATTTTAGTTTTTAAGTGAAGCATGAGGGTAAGGGACCTTTATTAGTCAAACCAAATATACTCAAAGCTTATAAAGAAGTTTGATATAAATATTTTCAAGCCACTAGGAGCCCTATAAGCCCCTCTATTGAGCTTAACAAGAATCCCAAGGCAAATAGGTAAACACTAAGCTTTATAGAGACATGACAGGTACCCTTTTATGCCTTACTACAGGCAGACCAAACATTATGTTGAATGTTTGCAAATATTCACATTTTGAATCTAAACCAAAAAAGTCATCTTATCCTAAGCAAGTGTATATATAAAAACCTTATATCATTCAAGATTTGTCATAACCAAGGAATTCTCTTTCATGTGATTTTTTAAGGTTCTCCAATACCAATTTTGTAACATTTAGGACTTCCCAGTTCTTAAGACACTCATTAATATCATCATTTGAGAAAAACAAAATATAATTTTGTAACTTTATCCACAGCAAAAATAGAGTATGTGATTTTAGGAAGTTGTGTAACTCAAATCCTTTGGCTTAAGCAACAACTATTAGACTATGAGATTCACTTAAAGCACACACCCATCAAATATGACAACACAAACACCATTAGCAAACAAAAAATTCCATACAACACCCGATGACCAAAAAAATAGAAAATAAACATCACTTAGGAATTATGCAGCTAAAAGTGATGTAGACATAGAATTCACCGGAACCAATCGATTGCTAATAGATTTCACTTAGGGATAAGATGGTGATTTAACTTCCAATACAACATCTTCTAGCCAAACTTTCAATTAGAATAAGGTTAAGGGACCTATAGGCTCTCACTTTTTTTGCTTGACTTCTAAAGCTATTAACACCATGGTTTCTAGTACAACCAAAGTCATTAGCTCCAAGGAAATTGGGGGAGGAAGGCTAGCTACTCTGACATCTTTGTACAAAAGATATTATTGCCATTAACTCTAAATAATAAAAGGCTGAAAGCCTTCTAGTACAACTACTTACAATCATCAATTACAAGGCAACTAGGAGAGGAAGGCTAGCTATAGCAACATCTTTATGTGAAGACACTGTTGTCATCAACTCTAAACATTGATAGGCTGAAAGCACTGGCGATCAAGTTCAGGTTCTTGATATCTTCTAACTACTAAGTGGCAAAAGCTAATGAGTCACAAAATGACCCTCTCAACGAGACTTGTGCCTTTTGCTAACTATTTTTGTGCTTCCATTCAATAAGGAGCTAGAGAATCTTATAATATAGAGTGATGTAGTTCGTGCATAGTTGGCACCAAACCCATGCTTAACTCGGACGGGCTTCGCCCACCCATGGTGACTTTTGAGTTGTCGTACCCACCTATAATCACCCACTTTCCATACTTTTTGAACGCAATCTACCACATACTGATGGTCTTAAGGCTTATTGCCCTTTGCTATGATTGCAAACTTTGAAGCCACATATCAGAATTTACCATAGTTGCAACATGATCAAGTGTTGCACACTACATAGTGAGGATTGCAGTAAAATAAGATATACGATGATTAGCAATGTAAATCGATTTATCCCCCGATATTGAGTACTCACCCACAAGGCCATGAGCGTACCCATACCCACCCATACCCAATGGGTATGGGTGGGTATATAGGTGGGTGTGGGTATGGGTTCCCAATGCAGGGCTGTGCTCCTAGCACAAAACAAGGTAAGTTGGGCTCCAACTAAGTTTCCATTTATCATTCAATTTTTGATGGGCCCTTAAGAATTGCTCTGTCTGATATCTTATTACTCATCATTCATTAGAACTTGGGCCCCATTTTCTTTGTAAGAGTGGAGGTCATACTTCACGGAGATGACAAATGGAAACAAGGCAATCCTGACTAAGTTCACCAATCCTGAATAAGTTCACCTAGGTAGAGATCACCTCAGCAGATGCCGACATAGAGCCATGCTATGCTAGTGTTCCGCAAGTAAACTAACAACAATAGAGTGATGTTGATGATGGTGGTGTTAGTGAAGGCACTAAAGAGGAAGAGGGTAGCCATCAATGGGCCCAAGGCTAGAGCATGGAAGCTATTGACCAAAAAATACGTGGATGTTCAAGCCTTAAAGTTGTCCTCACTGCTAGTCCACTACCAACAAGGAAGTTGGAAAAAGCGAAAAGCAGTAAAGATGAGGCCTCCTCAAATGCCACCCAACTATATGCATCACCCGATCCACCCCACAAGCAACGTTCACCAAACTATAGATCTTTTGCATTATGGTGACAACTTGGATTTCAGGGAAGGGCAACCCTCTTTAACTCAAGATTATAACTAACAAAAACTATTTCAACTAGGCTAATCACCATAGTTTTGAATATCCTTGAATCTCTTGTGAGTTCCATCCATACCTTTTTCATTGCGTGCAAATCTTTGTTCGAAGCTAACGCGATAAATTCTCCCCCTCTACCATCACAATACTCCAACACAAAATAACTATATTTATTTTTGTGGTGAATTTAGTGCATTCCTTCTCTACTACAATTACTTCTTGTTACCTCAACAACATCCATTCTCAGTGCGTAGATCATGATAAAAATTTTGAGAAATTTTGATCAAATCTAATCCACCCCACTCTTGAGTTACTGCCATAGCCTTCAAGATAAAGTAACCAATTTTGAAATCGAGTAACGCCTTAGATAATCTGACATTGAGACGATATACTGTTTCAATGGTGTGCTAGAAGATGAATGACAATCCTTGCTGTTCAATGAAGTACAAATTCTAGTGCTCAATAAAAGTAACCAACAAGATGGAAAATAAAGAATATATAATACACATATTTCAACAAAACTTACAATTATCAAGGAAAACAAGCACATATGCCGATCTAATCAATGCATGAAAGGGCATGAGAGTTATTAAATACACTGAATAACACAATATCAAAAAGTTGTGGTGTGAATGGAGGTGACTGAAAGAACATGGAAACTAACAGCCTCTTTAATGAACACGGAGGAAGCAGCGCCCTTCCATTTAGGATCGTTATCAGGGAAAATTTGCCCAATGTCCGGAAGCCCCAATGCACCCAAAATAGCATCTACCACGCAGTGAAGCAACACATCCCCTAGGTCACCAAAGTAAAAAAGAACAAACGCAAATCATTCATGGAAAAAGCCCCCTAAAATCCTAAAAAACCCTACACCTATACCACAAAGAATGTAGATCTAACCGTCCGAGTGAGCTTCGCATCCGCGGTCATGGGCGATTTTGATGCCACCGATGATTAGCGGGTAGCCCGGCTCGAGTCGGTGAAGGTCAAAACCATGCCCGACTCGAAAGGGAAGAGACGGCGGAGGCGTCGTCGTTGGCTTGGGAAAGGTCTCCTGCTCTGCTAGCAGGGCGGACACTGGCGCTGCTGGCCGGAAATTGGACAGCGGCCGGCTTGTTTGGCTGAGCAAGAAGAAGGGTAAAACCGGCGATAGCGCGCCGGAGAAGCAGTGACCTCTCCGTCCTCTCGGTGCGATGGCGGTTGATGGGATGCTAGGAATGAAAGACAGAGAGGACGCCATCGCCTCAGAGCTCGAACAAGTAAGCGAAGGAGACGTTGATAATAATACTTCGTTAGAACATTCGTTTAGAACATTATTAACCTCATACAATGATACATGACCCCTATATATAGGTCATGAGATACAAGCAAATAAAAGCATAACTAATGACTAAATCGCCCTCGGGGCCCCAACATAACTCACTCACACACACAAGGGTAAAACAGGAATACTGAAAACTGAAAATGCATGAATAACTAAAAATATAAGCTCTGAATCGTGGCCATCGATCGGCGATGCTTCCGGCGATACACGTGTCTGAACCGTTGATCGATGACCTCATCATCCAACGATGGCCAAAAACAGGAAGTCAAAGGTCAAGTGATGTTGGGTGGTTTGACTCATTCACCTTCGTGAGGAGAGATCAAACAACTGTAAAAGCTTATGCCAGGCATTTGTGGCTAACATATGTTGAAAATCACTCTTTGGCATTTATCATGCTTTACTTTCCAAAAAATAATAGATATTCGACGACGTTGGATGCTTTGACACGGTTATTTTTCTTATAAGAAGGGAGAAAAAACAACCGAGAAGGCTTGTATCAAATATCAATGACTAATGGGTGTAAAAAATCACTCTTTAGCATATTTTGGATGCAATTGACAAAGAATGCCCAAGGTCAAGCAATATTAAGTGATCTAACTGAGTCATTTTCCTTATAGGATTTGAGAACAGGTAATCAATATGACATTCATTGAATGTATGTGACTGTTAAGTGTCAGATATTGATAGTTGACATATAAAAATCTAACTACAAAATGATTAGTGTCAGCACTGGTCAATAAATAGTGATGATGATAAACGTTGATATTGATGAATGACCGGTAACAACTTGTGGAGAGTAAAGCTCTGGAGTTCTTTAAGTTCAAAATTCTCTCTACTAGAAGGTCTTCTTGAATATTGGAATCACATAAGCTATTTATAGAATGTCAAAAAAAGTCATATTGGATATTTTTATAAACAATTAGAACACTCCATTAGACAATCTGAATCGACCCCGCTCGATTATTTGATCTTTTTTTTTATTTGACAACAATTCTTTGATGATGAAAAATTTTGATATTCTTAGGCTCGTTAGATGCATCTCATCGAGATACTTGTTTTAATGATAAAAATGAAAAATTTATGTCATTTGCCACTCTAAATGGAGATGAGACTATCCGGTCCATTAAGACAAACAGAGGTGCTCCATACCATTGTATTCATCTTGCCGAACTGTATGGCTCAAATAATAAGTTAACATGGTGTTTAGATAACTCCAAAATTAAATCCTTCCAAACTTTTTGGTAAAAATAGCATCGATTCCTACTAAATCAGATAAATTTATTTGTGATGCATCAATGAGTATGCTGGAAATATTGAGCAAATGGCTTGATGGAAGATTAAAAATCCATATATTTATTGAAATCATTTGCACCTAATACATAATTAAGTTAAGTTCCATTAAAACTTAATTACAGCTAAGAATCCATAATAAAATCAATAAATAATATTGAAAAGGAGTTTGAAACTCGGATTATATTAAAGTTCAGTTGAAACCCTAAATAAAAAAAAAGGAATAAATGAACTTAAAATTCATTTGTAGCCATACACTTAAATCATCAGTTAACCCAACACAGACAAATGTTTATACTTCTTCTCGATGTCAAGAATTAGGCGAATTATTACGTTCGATTACCGGACATCCAATTCAGATGTGGCACATCACCTAAATACATCGGATCCGATGTATTTGAGTGACGTGACGCATCTGGATTGGTGTCCGGACAAATCCGAACACCGGACGTAATAATTTGCCTAAAAATTGAAAGGTTAAAACCCTGAAAACTGAAGAGAGCTAAAAAAATTCCAATAACAGTGACCTACAATACATAAACGACAACATTTTCTTGGCTTTTTAAGAAATTAAAAAAAATAATTGAACTTAAAACATTTGACCAAGCTTTTCTACAATAAATTAACAAGCTTTTCTTCATCTTCAGTAATAATGCTGAAATCCTCGTCTATTTATTAATAAATGGCAAACATTTCCAACTATATTTGTACTTCACTGCCCACATAAAAAACAAAATTATGAGATAGTAAAATAATTGATATTTATAAGAATTTTTTTTTATTAAATTATTCATAAAATTAGTCTCCCTTTCCGTTTGGAAGACGACCGACCTTGCCGACCAAGCCATGAAAATACCAACTACTAACTCCAATGAACTCTTATTATTCTTACAAGAAAACTTATTGGGTCCGGATTTAAGATTGATTATAGATTATTGCATTATTATTTTAAAACCTATTAATTATTAGAAAACTAATCAGATCAATTTTGGATCAAATTTTAATCATGGTACCTTGATTAAAGGAATATATAGTAAAATAGAATATAATTAAAAAAAAAATGTAATGAATTTTAGATATTTGAAATTATTTAAAAGAGTGTAAAATAAATACGAATGATTAATTTTTTTTATTTGACTAATAGTAAAATGAATTTAATGTAAAACTCAAAAATGATAGTGGCTAATGACCAGTGGCCTGAGGAAGTCGACAGACAATAGGTGGCACCACATGATAACATGTAGCTGGTAGTGCTGGAGAAAGAGAGGGTGGTTGGTGATGATGGGTGTCAGCCATTGATGTCAACATTAGTTGGTGGTGGTCGATGGCTGGCGCGCCAGTAGTAATGACTTTACATTATATTTGACAATTGACCAAATCTAATGATTTCTAAATACATCAAAATTAAACTAGATGATAAATCTCTTATATTTCAAAATACTACTCCATATTTATTTTACTTCAAAAAAGAAAAGAAAAAATACAAATATTTTCAAAACCCTTACATATTTTATATTTTTATTACTTCAAACCAAAATAATTTTGGATGTAGATATGTATAATATATGAATAATCAATTAAATTTTATATTTGAAGTAATATCAAAATAAATCCTAAACAAATTCTAATGTGATATTCTTGTCTTTTTTTTTTTTCATATAAATATTCTTTAAAAAATTGTGTTACATAGCTTGACGCAATATTCTTCACTTTTATGGCATCTTTTAATTGCATTGCTTCCATTATTCTCATTCTAATGCGACAGGAAAGGACGAGTTAGTTCCTAACCTCTCATGCAAATTGAATCCGCCGCAGCTATCATCTCATCCCTTCCGGCGCCGATCTCCCCTCCATATAATTTCCCGGCGAGTTTCCGACCCCTGCAACTGAAGCCCATCGTCACCACCCGTGCCGCTATCTCCGCCGCTCTATCCATACCCCCAACCAGCAATTCCCTTTCCCATCTCACCAACCTCGAACGCGTTCTCCGACCTTCACCCCGAGCACCATTGATCAACACAAACGACCTTTCCGATCCCAACTATTCATCTCCCCGTTCCTCAATTGGCAGTCATTGGCGTGAACTCCACGGTGCCAACGACTGGGAAGATCTTCTCGATCCCCTAAACCCTAATCTCCGCCGAGAACTCCTCCGTTACGGCGACTTGGTCCAATCCGGCTACCACGCCTTCTTCCAACTTTCCCCTAATTTCTCTCCCCCGATACTCCCCAACTCCTACCGCCTTGCTCGCCATCTCTTCACCACTTCCTCCATTAATCCCATTCCCCTCACCTGGTTTCCATCTGCTTCCCGCACAAACTGTATCGGATTCGTCGCCGTATGCGACGACGAATTTGCAATCCATCGAATGGGCCGCCGGGACATAGTTGTAGCCCTTCGTGTGAATGGGTGGACAATCTAGGTATAAATCTTGTGGCCCATCTGGATGGCAAATGCAGTCATCCTACTTGGGCCGCTTGTAACATTCCTAAAGTAGAATGTGGATTCCGGGCCTTATATAAAACTCTAGGCCCAAATAGACAAAGCCTATCCACAGCAGCAGTAGTAGCATTGCTGGGCATAGCTTAGGCGCTGCGCTGGCCGTTCTAGTCGCAGATGAGTTATGCTTCCTCAATGGGCCGCCAATAGCCGTGTACTCTTTTGGTGGGCCGCGAGTAGGAAACCCGGCCTTTGGATATCGTTTGGAGAAAATCAACCGGGTTAAAGTACTGAGAATGATTAATGTGCACGATTTGGTGACAAAAGTGCCTATAGGTTTTGAGGGGATTGAGATTGATGGGTATGAACATGTGGGTAAAGAATTGAGGTTGGATAGTAAGTTTCGCCATTTCTTAGACCCAATGCCCACCTGTCTTGTTGCCATGATTTAGAGGCTTATTCACACCTTATTGATGGATTGGGCGGGTTAAGTGACTGTCAATTTCAACCCAATGTTAAACATAATTTGCTTACATTATTTTGTCAACAAAGAGAAAATGTTAGACAAATTTATATACATGAGGCATAGGCACTCGGGCTTGACCCGATTGGGCTATTGTCTATGAATTGCCTTTCATGTTAAGCCTTTCTCTCAATAAAGGTTGTAAGTGAGTTGAGCTCAAATATTGCTCGGCTCTTATTATTAGGTAAGTGAGTTGTATTTTTTTATTTGTGCCCAGTTTGTTAAACTACTAATGGTTCATGACTATACACTTTTGTTTTTTATGAAAATATCTTTATCAAAATTTGATGATAATATATCCAAAGATATCCTATTATTTTAAGAAAAGCATAATCTAAGAAAAATCAATTAAAATTTATATTGCTAGAGTTTGTTTGGACAAAATACTGGCTAAGGTTCACTTCTTATCTTTTGCTGCTTGGCTGTATTAGCTACTCAAACAGGTTATCTAATCCTTCCACTATATATTTCCAATGACTGATTCTGGCTTTCTCTTGTTGTCAATCACAATGGCTTCAAAATTTAATTTATTAATCTTTATTTCAATAATTAAGTTCTTATTGAGCACAATCCTAAACTCTCCATATCATATAACCTAAGAATTCTCCTTAAGATCCCATCCATTGAGAAGATGAAAATTACAGATGAAAATCTCTGCCCTTCAAATACAGCCTTTGCTGTAAATGACATACCTCTCAAAATCCAATAAAGAGAACAAATCTATGTTAAAAATGATAAAAACATAGACCCGACACTAAAATTCTAGGTTCAGGTTGACCCGTTTAAAAAATAGGTCATGCTTGGGTCTTAAAAATACAACCCATTTAATAATTGTATTGCTATTGATGACATAAATTATTATTATTTTTTTCTTTTGGTAGTTCATATTACAATTAACTTGTTTTGGCAAGAGAGGAATAATCTTTATCTTTAGAGGAGTCACTCTAAATGATTTTATTATTATTGAGAAAATCAAATTTGCCAT